AAGGGAGCAAAGAAGCAAAACAATGATAAAAAGGAAGGAAGAAAAGTATCAGCAGGGAGGGACAAATTAATGTAGAAAAGAGAAAAGGAAATAGTAGGAGCAAAAAGACCAAGAGGACAGGTAAGTGGATCTGAAATTACAACAACTCAGACAATTTGTGCCATAAAATAGGAAAAAATACACATACTCCACACAGTTGGGCATTATGGTACTATGAAAATGTCCTCTTGAAATATAGCAAATATTTCCCTGCCTTTGCATACTTGTGAAGAAATAAGCTGCATACAAAATAGTAAAGCTGGGAGGACATTTTGTAGGACATCTAGTTTTACCTTTTGTCTGTTGTAGGCAAATTTGTGCACATGACTTATGAACAGGTGTATGGCTTTATACAGGGGCTTAAACCACACCCTACGTTAATGCTTTTATTCATCCAAGGAGAAACACATATATCCAATCACTTCCTCTTTTCCCCTCTCCCGAAGAGTACTGCAGACACAGACTGCAGCCAGGACATCAGAAGATGTTTACTTCTCCGGAGGAGAGCAATGACCAGTCTCAATAAAATAGCTAAGAGTACAGACTGGCAACTAAGAACCACATAGTTAAAGCAATAATATTCCCCGTAGTAACCTATGGATGTGAGAGCTGGACCATAAGGAAGGCAGAGCGAAGGAAGATAGATGCTTTTGAACTGTGGTGCTGGAGGAAAATTTTGAGAGTGCCTTGGACCACAAGAAGATCAAATCAGTCCATACTCCAGGAAATAAAACCCGACTGCTCGCTGGAGGGAAGGATATTAGAGGCAAAGATGAAGTACTTTGGCCACATCATGAGAAGACAGGAAAGCTTGGAGAAGATAATGATGCTGGGGAAAATGGAAGGAATAAGGAAGAGGGGCCGACCAAGGGCAAGATGGATGGATGGCATCCTTGAAGTGACTGGCTTGATTCTGAAGGAGCTGGGGGTGGTGATGGCCAACAGGGAGCTCTGGTATGGGCTGGTCCATGAGGTCACAAAAAGTCAGAAGTGACTGAACAAATAAACAACAAAATGCTCCATATAGTGTCTGATTTAAAGAACATTTCTAGTATATTTATCATCAGAAATACAAATGTTTTCATTTGACATAAGGTCAGCCCAATAATATTGAGCAAAGTCTCCTCGCCTGCAAATAGAGCTGATCGTCCCTGCTTTCAAACTAATGAAGAAGAGGGCATAAAGCAATAAATTGATAAGGAATTTAAACAAATCATATAACGTATATTTCTTGTATCTAGCACCTGTTTCATGTGTGAGCTTTTATGATAATGTGCAGCTTTGGGTTAAAAATAGGCAAGGGGCAACCGGACCTTATTATCTCCTAATCTTCTTATTTCAGTTCATTAGTCAACTATTAACTATTAACTTCTTATGTACAATCAAGTACAAATACTGTACCTGGAAAACTTATTAAGAGTTAGAGTTGAAGAATGGTATTAATTCTGGTAATATGTAATAGCAGTTTTTAAAAATGTGCGTTTGTAGAATTTTTATAGTATTTGTATGTTTTTAACTGTGTTGTGATCTGCCTCAAGCTGTGGGAAGAGGCAAGTAAGAAATATATTATCTATTATTATAATAAATAAATTATTATTAGGAGCCCCTGGTGGTGAAATAGGTTAAACCTTTGTCCTGACAGGACTACTGACTGAAAGGTCAGTGGTTTGAATTCAGGGAGTAGGGTGAGCTCCCATCTGTCAGCTTTAACTTCTCATGCGAGGACATGAAAGAAGCCTCCCACAGGATGGTAAACCATCCGAGCGTCCCCTGGGCAACATCCTTGCAAACTGACAGTTTTCTAATCCCAGAAGTGACTTGCAGTTCCCCAAGTCACTCCTGACACAAAAATATTATTATTATTATTATCCCGAGACAACCTCAGAAAAAAGGCTTTATCTTGTGGATTTGCTGTGGCAGAATTCCCTTCTACTTTGCTGCTCTCTCCTACCCATCTAAGCAACCCTATCACTCCACTGCATTGTAGACTCTTGTAAACAGAAAGCGATGGGGAAGAAAGGGCTTCAGAAAGTAGGTGGATTAGTGAAAATTGGGTGTTCCAACTTAAGTGACTTTAAGTTGTTGATATCCCCCCCAATTGATTAGAATGGCTAATAACCAGAATTAATTGCACTATTTATTCCCAAATTCTTACTGCAGAGGATTCCTCCTGACGTAATGTTCTGAATTAGTGAGGCATGTCTTTGTTCCACAGTATAAATGTTGGAGATGCCTTTTATAAATGTATACATTTTGCTGTTTTCAGAGCATCAACTGCAAAGTCATATGCAAAGTTCTAAGGTACAGTTGCCATTAAGTAACAAATTATTGTGATTGCCATTGTAGTGCTTCAAAGTGTTCTTCACTACTATGATCACATGCCTTCTCAAGTTCACTATTTCTATGTGTGATGTGGAATTCTTTTCCTTATGTATCGGAGTGAGAATCATGAGGTCCATGAGCCTTAGATAGCACAGCCAATAGTGAGAGATGCTGGGAACTGTTGTCACTCTGCACCTGAATAGTAGTGTAATCCCCAGCCCTGTTTCAATTTCTATTAGAAATTTACAAATATCTGTTTTATGGACAGGCAGGATGGGTGCTAGATTAAAAAGGTGGACTAGCACAAGAAGTGCTTAGCCTCAGGTGTACAGAGTGAACATCTCCATATTCTGCAAAAAGTAAATGCAGGTAGGTCCTAAGTGAGAAGCTGCACTTATACAAGTAATTTTACAATGGTTATTTAATTTATTTTCATTGCAGCCAGCAGCAAGCCAAGCCCTGCATGTTCTGCTTCTTTGGCAGAAAGGAGGCGGATGCCATCTTGAAGGAGAAAACCCAGTCTTAGATCTTTCTTCTTGCTTTGTGAAAGAGTGAAAATGGACTATACAGATGGACAGTCATCATGTCTGATTCTTTTATTGCTGTTTGCAATGCATTGTTCAAATCTTTCCCTGAATTTCTGATATGATATGGTCAGGATCAAATAGAAAGACAATGAAAGCAATGCACAGAGCTATGAAAAAAAAGGATAACAGACTCCTTCAAGGAAGATCATTTGAGGAAAATGGAATGGCTTTAGGAAAGTGAAGCAGAAGAGGTTCTCAGAGCACTGGGAAGAAAGAAATCCACCATTATTTACTGTTGGTTTCTAAACAATTGGCATTAAGAGAACATACAAGACACGAATAATGTAACAACTTGTTGTTTTGATTATTAGGAACCCTACCAAGTCAAACAAATATTTTTGCAGTGAAAGAGCAAGAGGTTTATGTATTTTTGCAATTCACATTGCAGTTTGGAGAGGTTGGATTTTTGTAAGTTTTTCGGGCTGTATGGCCATATTCAAGAAGCATTCTCTCCTGATGTTTTGCCTGCATCTATGGCACGCATCCTCAGAGGTTGTGAGGTTTGTTGGAAACTAGGAAAATTGGGTTTATATATCTGTGGAAAGTCCAGGGTGGAAGAAAGAACTCTTGTCTGTTTGAGGTAGGTGGGAATGTTTCAGTTGACCACCTTGATTAGCATTTAATGGCCTAGCAGTTTCAAGGTACAGCCTCTTACTGCCCAGGGCAGGCCCGTAGCCAGGATTTTGTTTCGGGGGGGGGGGGGGGGGGCAGAGTCTGAGTGAAAGAGGGTCTACCCTAGCAAACCTTTTGTATCATTACCCCAATACCCCCATGCATATGGGATATATTGAGCATGGTGATCAGATCATGATATGAATAAACATAACAGTTTAAATAATGCACCAGTAAGGCCTTTGCGTGGACCACCATGAGAATTTCAGGGGGGGGGGCTGAAGCCCCCAAGCCCCCCCCCCCGGTTACATGCCTGGCCCAGGGGAATCCTTTGTTGGGAGGTGATTAGCTGACCCTGATTGTTTCTTGTCTGGAGTTTCCCTGTTTTTGAGTGTTGTTCTTGATTTACTATTATGATTTTAGTTTTTAAAATACTGGTAGCCAGATTTTGTTCATTTTCATGGTTTTTTCCTTTCTGTTGAAATTCATAGAATCATAGAGTTGGAAGAGCTTGTGGATTTCAATGGCTTATCAGCGTATCATTTGAGAGCATGGAAATGCTGGACCATTCATAGAATCATAGAGTTGGAAGAGACCTCATGGGCCATCCAGTCCAACCCCCTGCCAAGAAGCAGGAAAATTGCATTTAAAGCACCCTGACAGATGGCCATCCAGCCTCTGTTTAAAAGGTTCCAAAGAAGGAGCCTCCACCACACTCCAGGGCAGAGAGTTCCACTGCTGAACGGCTCTCAGTCAGAAAGTTCTTCCTCATGTTCAGATGGAATCTCCTTTCTTGTAGTTTGAAGCCATTGTTCCGCGTCCTAGTCTCCAGGGAAGCAGAAAACAAGCTTGCTCCCTCCTCCCTGTGGCTTCCTCTCACATATTTATACATGGCTATCATATCTCCTCTCAGCCTTCTCTTCTTCAGGCTAAACATGCCCAGCTCTTTAAGCCGCTCCTCATAGGGCTTGTTCTCCAGACCCTTAATCATTTTGAAGCCATTGTTCCATTCCAACAACTACCATGTCAGACTACACAGAGAAGAAATACACACACATATATATAAATACAAGTATATCTTGTAAACCCCTCTGAGTCCTCCTCAGGGTGAGAAGGGGGGGCATATAAATGTAGTAAATAAATAAATATTTAAAAGACCAAAAGAAAAAAAGTGCATTTTGTTTACCCACGCCAGAAAAAGCCCAGTGGCGCTTTTCAGAGGCTGAACACATTCAGCACCAGCTTTCCTGGTGAGCGCCGCTTCCTTCCTCTTCAGGCCTCCTCCTCCTCCTTCTCTCTCTCTCTCTTGTTTTTGGCGCCCTGGGGAGCCTTCATTAGCAATCGCGCTCGGGTTGCCAAGGCGACGGCTCTGCCCGCACACGCGCGAGGCAGGGTTGGGCGCCGACCTTCCCCCTCCAGATGCTCCCCCCCCCCCACTTCCCACACGCCGCATCCTCGCGCAGCCGTTCGCCACAGCCAAGCCATCCAGTTGGGGATTTGCAACTCCCTTTTGCTTGGCTTTTTGTTTTGTTTTGTTTTGTTTTGTTGGGCGCGCGCTTCGCTTGACCGGGCGGGATGACCAGCGGGCAGGTGCAGGACAGGTAAGTCGGGGTGTGTGTAAGCGGGGACCTCAGCTAACTCTTTTTGTAGTTGCACGCTTCCCTTGCGGCGCGCGCTGCGTCCAGCTCCAGAACCACGCTCCCCGGGGAAGATTCTAAGGGAGAGCGCGCGCCTAAAAGGCGCGCGCTCTCCCTTAGAATCTTCCCCGGGGCGCGTGGTTCTGGAGCAGGACGCAGCGCGCGCCGCCACAACAAAGAAAGAGCCCCATCTCCCTTCCCTTCGCCATTGCGCCCCGAGGGAGGAGAAGAGAGGAAGGAGCAGAGCGGGCGGGAAACCTTTCCGGCACAAAGCCACAATGTCTTTGGAGACATTCAGAAAGGAGAGTGGTGGTAGTGATAATGGCAAGGACTTCCTAGGTTAACGTTGTTCGTGGGCTTTCTTTGCTCCAGCTTTTTTCTCTCTCGGAGCATGTGGGGAATCCCCACGTCCTTCTTTTCTCTCTGTTTACATGCTTCCTCGGGCACCCGCTTTGAATTCGCAGCCATGGATGCAGTCCCGTTGAGCTGCCCATGGCTCCTTGCTACAGAATCTTCCTCTCCCAACCAAGACCAAACTTCACATCTCATTTTTATTTGTGGCAGGAGTGTTGCTTCTGCTGTGAGAGAATTGGCCGTCTGGAAGGACGCTACCCAGGGGACGTCTGGGTGTTTTGATGTTGTACCATTCTTGTGAGAGGCTTCTCTCATGTCCCCGCATGGGGAGCTGGAGCTGACAGAGGGAGCTCATCCGCTCTCTCTCCAGATTCGAAGCTCCGACCTGTAGGTCTTCAGCCCTGCTAGCATAAGGGTTTACCCATTGCACCACGAGGGGCTCCTATACACATCTCATGCTTTCATAACATTCAACCCTGGCAGTTCAACTGGTGTCAAACGGCATTCATTCGACAGTGTAGATGCACCCAATGTTAGTCTGTATGACAGTATCTTGTAGCACCTTGGAGAATTGCAAGAAGTTGGTAGTACTGTTTGAGCAGGCTTTTGATAATGGCTAGGACTATCCCCTGGCAGAGGCGGCCCTAGGTAATTTTCAACTGTAAGCAAACAGTATCCCCCACCAATCACTGATATATATTTTCTGTTCGTCGTGGGAGTTCTGTGTGCCATATTTGGTTCAATTCCATCGTTGGTGGAGTTCAGAATGCTCTTTGATTGTAGGTGAACTATACATCCCAGTAACTACAACTCGCATATGTCAAGGTCTATTTTCCCCCAAGAGCGCCCCTGGGCAACATCAACTATACTGCAAATGCTTACTTTGTGTAATGGGTTGAGCCGCCCCTGTCCCCTGGTGGCACAGCAGGTTAAACCGTTGAGCTGTTTAACTTGCTGATCTAAATATTGGTGGTTCAAATCCAGGAAGTGTGGTGAGCTCCCTCTGTTAGCCCCAGCTTCTGCCACCTAGCAGTTTGGAAACATTCAAATGCAAGTAGAGCAATAGGTACCGCTTTGGCGGGAAGGTAGCGGCACTCCATGCAGTCATGCTGGCTACATGACCTTGGGAGGGGTCTATGGACATCGCTGGCTCTTCAGCTTGGAAATGGAGATGAGCACCACCCCCCAGAGTCGGACTTTACCTTTTTAAGACTATCAATCACCCTCTCGGACTGGACTTTAAATGGTTATTAGGACTATAATTTATAATGCTGGATACCCTGATCATAGGAATTGGCTGGTTTTAAATGGCATATATATGTACACACACACACACACACAGTTTTTAGAGGGCTTAATTAGTCTTTTAGATTGTTTATTTACTTATGTTTACATTACTGTGCCATTTTGTTTTTATTAATTGACTAGTTTGGGTACCCAGCAATGCCTGGGTTATTCAAAGAAGTCATATCTTTATTTTACAAAATTGTGGGTGAACTACAACTGACATCATGCCAGGTTAACCCCCTGAAACTCCATCAGTACTTAAAGTTTTGTCATGTTGGGCAAGTTTGCTCTAGAGCAGTGGTTCTCAACCTGTGGGTCCCCAGATGTTTTGGCCTTCAACTCCCAGAAATCCTAACAGTTGGTAAACTGGCTGGGATTTCTGGGAGTTGTAGGCCAAGACATCTGGGGACCCACAGGTTAAGAACTACTGATCTAGATGCATCATCGGTGGTGTTCAGTATTCTCTCCAGCTGTAGGATGAATTACAACTCCCACCATGGTGTGTCAGTCCTGTCAAATCCCTCCAGTACATTAAGTTGGTGATGGGGGTTCTGTGGGCCAAGTTAGGTCCAGTCCATCATCGGTGGGGTGCAGAGTGGTCTTTGATTGCAGGTGAATGATAAATCTTAGCACCCACAACTAACAAATATCAGGGCAAATTCCCCACAAAACCTACGAGTTTTCAAATGCTGGCATATCGTGTATGTGTGCCAGATTTAGTGCAGATCCATCATTGTTTGTGTTCGCAGTGCTCTATGGATGTAGATGAACTATAATTTATATTAACTATAAATCCCAGTACCTACAACAGCTATAAATCATGGTGAATTCCCCCAAACCTCTCCTGTATTTTTCTTAGGGCATGGGGGTTCTGTGTTCCAAATATGGTCCAGGTCCATTATCAGTGGGGGTCACAGTGCTTTCTTGATGCAGAGTGAACTACAATTTCCGTCACGTAGAGTCATGACTCCTTTTGTATGATGATTAGCTCTGCTCTTGTTTGTTGTGCAGAAAGAGTTGAAAAGAGCAGGAAAAGTTTAAGTGAGAGGCAGTGGGTGGGGTCATGCAAATTCCACACCAATGGTGAGAGTAAGAAACACTGGGATGTCTCTGTGGTGGAGGAAGCATGTAAAATCTTGGATGAAATTGTCGCTGAATGAAAGCATTCCTTGGGTGGTGGGCAGTATGGTGTTTGAGGAGGACATTGGCAGGGGTTGGGCTTACTTTTACTTAATTTTCAATTCATGGTGCTCGCTATAACCTGAAATGTCATTGAAGGGAGGGCTTTTGGTGGCTTCTCAGCACTGTCGGTTAAAGCTGTTTGTGGAAGCAGGGGCCTGTCTGTGGAACTGGGCACCCCAGCTACACACACACTTTTATTATGGATATAGATACAGATATGTGATTATTTGTTGTGTTATATCATTTATTATTGTCTGTGTTATATCATTTAGTGTATTCATTTGTTTTCCTGTAAGCCGCCCCAAGTCACTTCAGAGAAAGGGGAGTAGGATATAAATAAAGTTTACTACTACTACTACTACTACAATAAAGCTTCTTATTCAAATCTAAGGGATCATTTATTTATTGGATGTATACTCCACCTTTCTCCCTGAGTGGGGTTCAAGGTAGCTGAACGGACTCATTGTGCTCCTACACTGAAGAATGGATGCAGTTTGTCACCACTTGAACTGCCATGCCCCAATGGCATCATGGGGATTGTAGTTTTACAAAGTCTTTAGCTGCATCTGTCAGAAAGTGCTGGTTCTTCACCAAACTACAATTCTCAGGATTCCATAGCATTGAGCCATGGCCATTAAAGTGGTGCCAGTCAATCTGCATTCATTTTACAGCAGTGGTTCTCAACCTGGGGTCCACAGATGTTTTTGGCCTTCATCTCCCAGAAATCCTAAAAGCTGGTAAACTGGCTAGGACTTCTGGGAGTTGTATGCCATAAACATCTGGGGACCCCTGGTTGAGAACCACTGTTCTACAGTGTAAATACACCAATACTCTGCAAAAGCTTATGCTACCAACACCTTTCTCTGAAGAGTCTACCAGATCTCTTTGCATACCGGATGGCTGTTCTATTCATTTCTCTTTCTGTCATAAAAAACCCCAAACTTGGGGGATAAGCAGAAAGGAGCCATTTGCCAAGTACTAAATTTAAATGTATGTCTTCACTTGTCTCTAGAAGGAAGCTGATGCAATAGCATCTCTAACTTCTCAACACCAACTCAAGTTGCTATAAGTCATTCTATCCCTGTTTTTGTTTGACAGCTGCACTTCTGTTCTCCTTTAGGAGTAAGTCCCATCAGTAAGAACAAATGAACCTTTGGCCTGGTGTCTCCGTTCATACTATTTGCATGTTGCTATAGTTACCTTCAGAGAAAATGTTTTGCCAACTTCAGTTTGAAAAGATAAGGAAATGGACCATTAGAAGCACCCATCATGCTTTTCAGCAGCTCTTTGATTAACCACTTGTAATCCATTCATAGGAAATTTTATGGGTCTTTGGTGTTGTTGTGTGCCTTTTAAGGGATCCTAAAACAAGATATATGGAGCCCCCGGTGGCGCAGTGGGTTAAAGCACTGAGCTTCTGAGCTTGTTGATCAAAAGGTCGCAGGTTCGATTCCGGGGAGCGGCGTGAGCTTCCGCTGTCAGCCCTAGCTTCTGCCAACCTAGCAGTTCGAAAATATGCAAATATGAGTAGATCAATAGGTACCGCTCCGGCGGGAAGGTAACGGCGCTCCATGCAGTCATGCCGGCCACATGACCTTGGAGGTGTCTACAGACAATGCTGGCTCTTCGGCTTAGAAATGGAGATGAGCACCACACCCCAGAGTCAGACATGACTGGACTTAATGTTAGGGGACTACCTTTACCTTTACAAAACAAGATATATTCTGAGAGTGTTGCCTTGGGCCCCTTCCACACAGTGGAATAAAACCCCACATTTTCTGCTTTGAACTGGAATATATGGCAATATAGATAATTCAAAGCAGATATTGTGAATTATTTTGCCTTGATATTTTGGGTTATATGGTTGTGTGGAAGGGCCATTGGCTTCTTCTGACATTAAAAGAGGTTGCCCAATGCAGCACTATGAGCCACTTTTAATTACTGTGATTGTATTTCATGGATTCCTGGCATTTTTCATTTTGAGAGGGGAATTATAGTGTAATGGGAAGGTGTCCCAAGATTAAGCAACAGAGACAAGGGGTTCTTTTGGAGATGTCTTGGTCATTGGTGTTTCAGTAAAATATTTGCAAGCCTTCATCATGACAGTCCTTATAGTGCTACACCTCACACTGGTAGTGCTAAAATTTGCTTTATATGTTTTAAATCTAGTATTCATTGCCATCAAAGGTGGAACTTACATAAAGCTATGGATCTCTCCACTCAACACCAAGGCATTCCAAGATAGCTACAAGATAGCTATAGCTAGTAACTATACACGAATTGCTGGAGCATTTTTACCAAGCTATAGCAGATTTGTGACTACATTTAGAAGAGAAGGCTCGTCAAAATGGCAAATGGTATCATTTTCTCTGCTTATCAAGAACTCCAGGGGCTTTGAGCCTGTTGGCCGTAGCAAAGAGACTATAACTACTGTCAAGGGCTCAATGGATTTCCTGTAGTAAGAGGAAAAAGATGGAAGTATTCATGGGAAGATTACATTCAGAAAATGAAGATTTTTGCACCCCATACCCACTCCCACCCTGTAAAATTCTGTGAATGAAGTATGCCACTATTCCTTTTATGGTAACGATCCCCATAATAAATCACTAGATACAGATTTATTTTTTCCCCGTGAGTCAAAAAGTTTCTCCCAGTGAATCTCATAGTACAGTAAAGTCTCACTTATCCAACCTTCACTCATCCAATGTTCTGTGTTATTCAACACAGTCTGCCTCCTGCCCAGATCCACAGCTGTTTCAATACATTGTAGTGTTTTGGTGCTAAATTCGTAAATACAGTAATTACTACATAACATTACCATGTACTGAACTGCTTTTTCTGTCGAGTGGTTGTATTTTGGTGCTTAATTTGTAAAATTATAACGTAATTTGACATTTAGTAGGCTTTTCCTTAATCCCTCATGAGCCAACATTTTTGCTTAACCAATGTTCTGCCGGCCCATTTATGTTGGATAAGCAAGACTCTACTGTACTTCAAGGTTGAGAACTTTTGTTTGAAACCATATAGTCCAGTGTTGCCTCTTTTACTCTGATAACAGGTGGACATTTTATCAACCTTAGAAAATGTTTATTGTGTAACCTCAGAGATCTTTTAGTTTACTGCTTTTTCTCCTCACAGAGCTCCTTGATCATTAGCTGTTGCAGAACATGCAGAAATTGAATAGGGGAAAGCCATCATGGTGTAGTGGTTCAGGCATCGCACTGCAACTGTAGAGACTAAGGTTCAAGTCTCTGATCAGCTGTGGAAACCTACTGGAATTGCTTTGGTTGAGTCACACACTCACAGTCCCATCTCCTCCCCCCATGATAGGTTCATCTTGGGTTAACCATAAGTTGAAAATATCTTGAACACACATATCAACAATAACAATAGCTTTCCATGGAGTAAGGATTTTCAGAATTTGCTTGAGGAAGCATTTAAAATTGTACAGCTGTACTTATGCAGTGTCCTCATCACCATCATGTTTACATGCATGCTAGTTTTACTTCCTTAAGCCATGTCCAAAGTGGCTTAAAGTTACCTCTATAAAAGCTATACAATAAAAAAGAGACTCATTGGGGAGAAGGTACAAATGCAGGCAGTCCCCAAGGTAGAAACATCTGAGTTACAAATGAGTCATAGTTATGAATAGGGGTCAGACATCAGAAAGTGAGAGAAATCTACCCCTTGGAAGGGAAATTCACTCCTGTAAGAGTTATCATGGGAAAAAGGTGTCTCTACTTAAGCTTTATCACCAGTCCTTGTCTCCACAACAAGCCATTTTTTTCAAAATCCAATTATCACAGAGAGAGAAAGTGAGGGGAAATCTTTGGAACAGGCACAAGACAGTAAAGCAAACATCACAGGGGTGCTAACCCTTCCCTGTGCTACACAAAGCATACATATATATCACACACATACACACGGCTGGAGTTATACTTAAACATGTACCTGTTCTGACTTAAATACAAATTCAACTTAAGAACAAACCTACAGAACCTATCTTGTTTGTAACTTGGGGACTCCCTATACTAGCTTTTATACCTTGACTCAGTGGGGATTACTGAGCCAGTACAGTAAAATGCATAGTAAGGTTTTATTTTTATTTATTTATTTTTTTGAAAAAAAGAGCACCATTTCTAAAATGCAAAGTCTATAATAGGAATTATACATTCATGACAATAGAAGAATTCAATAATGCCTTTCAAAGTACTTTTCCTTGGTAAAAACCAATTGGCTTCTGTCTTCAAAAAAATAAATGCAGCTGAAATGTTATCTAACCACAAAATAAATACTGGAAAATATGTTTCCTTCCACAAAGAAAGACAAACAAATTACACCACCCCAAATCAAGGAGTGACTCGGTACCTGGTAAGCAGAAAAGCTGTGGCTCTACTTATCAGCTCTGTATATATATTATATTCGCCAGAAATAAACCTGTGACCTTCTTTGTAATTTTGTCAGGTATTTTTAACATTGTGTGAAATTCAAGCCTAAGACAGTGGTTCCCAAACTTTGGTCCTTCAGATGTTTTTAGACTTTAGCGTCCAAAATTCCTATTGGCCAAGTCAGTTAGGGCTTTTGGGATTGAAGTCCAGAACACCTGGGGGACATTTTGAGAATCTCTGCACTGGGGTACCATTACTAGATGAATGACGTGCATTAAAGTTAAGATATATATGCAAAGATGTGTCCTACCAAAAAGAAAGAAAGATGTTACTCACAAATAGCTTTGGTTGATTATGCTTAAGTTCTGTCTGGCTAGTCTTTTAAAATATGTAAAGATAACAAATAAAAATAGGCAGTTTAATACGTACATGTTTACTGAAAAATAAGCTCCCATGAGTTCAGGTATGTGTGTACAGAATTGTTGCACAGATGGTTTACATAGGCTTTCATATTAAATTGAAAGAGATTGCACCCTACGGTTAGACTCAGAAAGGACAGTAATTAACAGTGTTAATATTTCAAAGTCAATGGCATCCTTTATTTATTTCTTCAAGCTGTTATAAACAGAACTATCCTTTGGAAAATGCCATTGTTACAAATGGATACGTGTCTTACAGAGTTGTACTGCCTTTGGTAATGAATATCTCATAGAGTTGTAACCAATTCAACATAGTTTGTGGCAGCCATAAAAATGAAATTTCTGGAATATAACAACCACACAATTACAGTAAACAGGAAATAACACTTTCAAACCACAAACATATTTTTTTCAAATTTTGTTACATAGTGTAATTGTAGGACTTTGGGCCAGCAGAGTGATACCAGATGCTCCAATATCCTCTCAGTATAATCTCTGGAACAATTTGAATTTGGGGATAAGTGAATGCATATCCATGTTCCTTCTGGACAAATAAATGCTATGTAACTCCTTCCTCCATTTTTTGCTAGTTAGACTGGAATTCACATTGATTTTCCCATTAGCAGTAACAGCACAAAGCCTCGTATTGATCCTGCTAAGATTTGAGTCTTTGTTCCAGTAAAGAGAAATTTGTGAAAGGAATATAGAGTAGTAGATAAAAAAACCTACACACCCATTCTCCTAAAAAGAGTCTCATTCATACACTCTTGCACTTAATCTATGACAGCATAGTTTTATGAGACAGACAGCAGAAAAAATGGTTTAGCTTTATGAACAAATGCATTCATCTGCATTGTCTAAGATTAATTCCAGCCATTATTAATGCTCTAAAAGGCTTTAAATTATGTACTAACAAAAACATTTACACATTCCATTTTTGTTTTTCAGTGAATCTGGCGTGCCTTTGGACGATAAAGGTAATTCATGTTTAAAGCTTACCAATGTTTAAGTAGATTTGATGGACCAAAGTTTTAATCCTATTTCTGAAAAATAACCCCTGGGCTAAAACATGTCAGGAGTGAGAAGAAAACATTGCAGAAATGTTTTATGGCACCAAGAGACCACAAAGGTCTTTTTGGGATAAACAATTGTGTGGTAAGTGAAAGTGTTGGAAATAGCAACCTTCCAAGCCTCTATTAACTGTTTGTAAATGTGTATAATTGTTAACCTATATTGTATGTACATTTTGGTTTGCCAGTTTGACTGTACCTCTTTGGTGTGGGAGGGGCCTCAGACACAGGACTCCGTTTTTGTTATTCAGTTTGCATCAGACCTCAGTGGAGGTGGATGCATGTTGCTATTTGGACTTCAGTAGAGAAGTATGACTTTCAGACTTCAGTGAAAACAGTTATACAGTTTGGACTACAACTATACTTAAAGGCATTGGACTATGGAGTAGTATGCTGAATATATACAATAATTTTGTTAGTAAACCTGAGATGTTATTTTTAAAGAAGACTACTTTGGGTTTTTTTTGGTCTTTTGAGTGCATATTTTATCTAAGAGGTTTTAAGCGAGAGATGGGCAACTGCAAATTCTACTTCAAAGAAACAACTTCGTTTGCTAACCAAATATATTTTTGTAGTAGCACGCCTTTATCCTTGATACTTTAAAGACATGGTTCTTCAGTTTAACAACTGAGTTACCTGTGTGCCATTACATTAATGCTTGTGAATATCACTTGTTCAAAGAGTTAACTTCTAACAAGGTCATGCCTTCCTTGACTGGTGGTTTTCAAAGGAGACTCACATTTGCCAAATGGATGTGGCATTATTTTTACATTTTCAATAAGGTCATGGTGCATTTATTTCCAATAGGTTATGGGATTTCCAATAGAAGGAGATGTTATTGGTGCTCTGGTGTGTGTTCCTGGGTAATTGCATATGGCCCATGGCCTCCACTTTGCTCCCTCTTGTTGTAGAAGTTCATTGTTATAGATCATGCCGCATTTCTTTTCATTTCAGGTGCATTTTTACAGTTTCTGTGTAAAGCTGTATTATTACCTTTATGAATGTTAGTTGACATCCATTCTAGAGACCACCAGTTGGAGCTGCAAGATTGTAAATATCAAGGCCAGGGCATTATTTGAGTTGGCTCCATATTTTTGTAATGCTGTCCACATAAAGGGCATGTTGTTCCCACTTTGCTGATATTTTGGGGCGGATTCTAGACACAGTGGGTCTTTGTGATCTGCAGTTTTCCGATCCACGGTCTCAACTGACCACACATCATGATGGCCCATATTTACAATGGTGGTGGCATTCAAGCAGGCATGCTAACATGGAAGCATATACATTGATGCCATCTAACAATACAGGGTGTGTTCATCCATGATTCTTCCTTGTGGAACTGAACCCTTGCAGATGTCTTACTAGCCTTAGTTTTTCAAGTCTTCTAAGTGCCTATGGCTGTGCATTTTGTACTTTTAAAATTCTCTTGTTCCCTTGTGCATGCTTTTACTCCGAAAAGTAGGATATAAGTCTATATGTATATGATCTGTTTCTTTCGATATATTTGCCCTTGATCTGGATATTGCTCTCTCCAGTCAGATATTTCCTGAGCATACTGTTTCTCCGGATGTTTTTGATATGTGAAAGGGGAAGTGAGGACATGAGAGAAGCCTCCCACAAGGATGGTAAAACATAAAAACATCTTGGCATCACCTGGGCAACGTCCTTGCAGATGGCCAATTCTCTCACACCAGAAGCGACTTGCACTTTCTCAAGTTGCTTCTGACACACACACACACAAAAACCCTGGTAAGATTCTGATCTTAGGTAAGATCTGGGCCTTACCAGATGTGGGCCCTGTCTGGATTGGGTCTGGGGACCAAGCAACCTCCGAGCCCAATCCACACTGCTCTCTTGGTTTTTCGGGTTCCATGGGCCCAAAGAAATGAGAGGGCATCCACCCCTCTCCCAAAACAAACCCTTAAAAGAAAGAAAAACTTACCCGGTCACCATTATGGTCCTTTCTGGATCCTTCTGGCATGAGGATAGTCCAGGGTAGGAAAATCCCTCCTCACCCACCCTCCTGGAATGTAATCTCACACCAGGAGAGTGCAAGGAGAAAGATAATGGTGGCTGGGTAAATTTTAAAAACCTTTTCAGGGGTTATTTTGGGGGGTTTCCAGTGGCCACATGCCATCCCAGTAGTTGCCGTGATGGTATGTAGACATCCCCCGCCTCGGGAAAGCTGGTATTTATTTTTTTGGGGGGTGGTGGTGGTGTAGACTTAAATCTACTTTGGCATGCATTTAAGTCTAGTGTTGAAGCATCCTAAGTCAACTGTGGGGTTTAGTCTGAATTTTAAAGGAGCCATCCAAGGTGCTGAATCAGTCACCCACTGTCATTATATTTAAATCTGTTGATTTTAATTCTTTGTTTTGTTGTTCCCACTGATCTACCCTTAACTTTTGCCCTGAAAAGCCTAGAGTCCTAGAGTAGTGTTCTCTCTAGAAATCTCTAGACCATTCAGTGCAACTATATCACAAACTTCTGGAGAAAGTTCCTAAAAGACCTAGGGGTCCCTAGAGAGAAAATTTTAATCAACTCAATGAATAATCCTATCTCAAAAAATAAAACCTGTCAATATAGAGGGTCTGCTATAGTTATTTTTCTCTCTCTGTCTTCTGGGTTTGAATGCATTGGAGCCATTGCAACAGGGGAGTTGTATGTTCCTAGTAGCCAGCACTGGTTAGCAATCTGGTTGCAGCTCTTTGGGCCAGTGGAAGTTTCCAAATACTTTTCATGTACAGCAAATTTCAGTAATCCAACTAGGACGTAACTAATGTATATGTCATTGTGACCAGATCTGACATCTCAAAGAATGGGTGCCACCAGGACACAAACTGTAACTGTGCACAATACACACGCACCCCTAGCCATAGCTGAAATCTAAGCTTCCAGACCTAGAATTGTCCCTAGAAGTTAAGTTGTGGACCTGCATCTTCAAGGGGAGTGTAATACCATTAAGACCAGCTTGAATCTGTATTCTCTATTATTAATTACAGTTATTCTATTACTCAATTTATATTCCTTATTTATTTGTGTATGTAGTTTTGGAAAAATTGCATTCATAACCTTTTTGAAAAGGAAAAATGATGTCACATCTTTTTGACATGTGAATCTTCATGAACATCTGGAGACCACCTTTTGAAAATCAATAGTCAAGGAAAGGCATTACCTTGTTAGAAGTCAACCCTTTGAAAAAGTGATGTTCACAACTGTTCATGTAATGGCACACAGGTAAATTAGCTGTTACATTGATAAACCATGTCTTTGAACTGCCAGAAACAGACATGCCACTCCACAAAACATATGTGCAGAGTTTTGAAATGTTTTTTTGAAGTTGAAATTGCAGTTGCCCAAAATATATACTCTCCCTCAAAACCTCTTAGTTTAAAAATATGTACCTAGAGACAAAAAACAAAGACTTCTTTAAAAAATAAGGTACCTTGTTTACTCACAAACAAGTTTGTATTAATTCAGTATGCAGTCATGTTTATTATTAAAGTTCAGTTATAGATAGAAAGTAGTTTCTCTGTCTGAGAACATGGGGCATCATTCTTAACCAATAGTCCCATAGTCCAAAGGCTTTAAATATACATCTTATGAAAGTCCAAAACTGCATATCTGTACTCACGGCTTCTCAAAGCAAACCTATAGTAAACTGTTCCTGCATAAGTCCAAAAAACACCTGGTTCCATTGAAGTCCAAAAGCATATAGCATCCACTTCCACTGAGGTTTAAAGTGAACTGTTGTCATTGAAGTCCGAAAGCATACTGATAACAAAATGGAGTCTTGAGTCTGAACATGCTCAGTACAATCACATGTCTGTAGCCCCTCCCACACTGTCTGTCAAACTGGCAAATCAAAATATACATACAATACAGGTTAGCAAATATATACATTCACAAACAAATAGTGAAGGCTTGGAAGGTTGCTATTTCCAACACATAGATTATCATCATTTTTAATTAACTGATTAGCACTGGCTGGTTGCACATAGTCTACTTGTATAAAGTGACTTACACACACTGCAGAATTAATAGCAGTTTGAAACAACTTTAACTACCACGTTTCTGTCCTATATAATCCTGGGGTTTGTGGCTTGCTATGGCACCATTGCACTCTGACAGAGAAATCCATATCATTCAGTCACGGAGATTAATATGGTGTCAAACTTATATAATTCTTCATTGTAGATCCAGCCTTAGTATCATACATTTTGGTTGTAAGGCTATCTGTGTTTTTAACTTCATTTGTAGACCAAGACATTTTATGGTAAAACCCGAATATTTAATTCCTAGCTGACCTTCTGTCCTCTCCCCACTCCAAACAGATAGCAGCAGCTCTAAATATAAGGATGAAGACTGTGCTGAAGAAAATTCACTGGGTAAAAATAATCTTATTGATGATTTTAAAAAATGACAGTAGAAAAGTTCAAATGTTTTTGATTTGGAATATTATGTCTTGGTTGTACTTGACTTTTAGAGTGCCAGTTTTAATTTTTTTTTATCTAATAAAGGGGTTGTTTATACTAGCCTTTCCAAACTGAGCTGAGTGAGGATGATGTGAATTGTATACACCCTGGGAGCACTGCTCAGGGACATGTTTCCAACATATATTCAAAGTAGCAGGAATAGAAAGTGGAAAGCGGTTAGTGCTGTTCTGTTAATTTTTGATTAAGGGCCCTATCAGACACGCCCTAAATCCTAGGATCTGATCTCAGGTTTTCTGCTTTAAACTGGATTATATGAGTCCACACTGCCAGGTAATCTGGGATAAGCAGAAAACCTTGGATCAGATCCTGAAATATAAGGCTTGTCTGGAAGGGCCCTAAGAGGTACTGGAAAGGTTTTTTTTGAGGGGGAGATGAAGCACCAGGGTTTTAGCAGGAGAAGCAACAGACTAAAGTGAGGCTTAATGTGCCATTAGAAGACACATCAAGTTACACAAAGAAGTCACATCCTGGATCCCCCTCCACCCACTGTGCTACCTTTCGTATTGAAAGGAGGCCAAAAGATTTATTCCCTGGCCACAGCTGCCCTACCTGTGGATCCATTAGCTTTGGAAGAAAACCCCATTGATGCAGAGATAGTGCAATTATTGTTATCATTATGGGTAAATCTACAGCCTCCCCCCCCCCCCGATGGTGCGCAGGGGGTTAAACCGCTGAGCTGCTGAACTTGCTGACCGAAAGGATCCGAAATCCGGGGAGCGAGGTGAGCTCCTGCTGTTAGCCCCAGCTTCCTCAGGTGTCCTGGACCCAAACCATAAGGCTTTAAAGATCAAAACCAGTACCTTGTACTTTGCCTGGAAACTAATTGGCAGCCAGTGGACTGACTTTAGTATGGGTGTAATATGCTCACTCTTAGATGTTTCTATAACCAATCTGGCTGCTGTATTTTGAACCAGCTGGAGTTTCTGAACTTGATACAAGGGTAGCCCAATGTAGAGCATGTTGCAGAAGTCCAATCTTGAAGTTTGCAGCACATGCACTACCATTTTCAGGTCCTCCAAATCTAGGAAGGGGAACAGGTGGCAGCCAAAGCTGATAGTAAGCACTCCTAACTGTCACAATCTACCTGGACTGATATTTGGAACACTCCCAAGCTGCAAACACAGTTTTCAGGGGGAGTGTAACCCCATCCAGAACTGGTTGACACACCTCCATCCCCAGATGAGGACTCTTGATGGCAAGCACCTCTGTTTTGGCTGGATTCAGTTTCAATTAGTTTTTTCCTCACCCAGCCAATTGCCTCCTCCAGGCATTCATTCAGAGGAGACACACTATCCTTAGCTGAACCTGTTTTGGAAGGCATGGAGAAATATATTTGGGTGTCATCAGCATGCTGATAACACCCTGCCTCATGCCTATGGATGATCTCTCCCAGCGGCTTCATGTAAATATTAAAGAGCATTGGGGATAGGACTGATTAAACTCTAATTGGAACTAACTAACCGTTTGTCAAACTTTAAACTCTAGTGGATCTACAAAGGTGTTAAGAATGTGAGTGTAGAAAGTCTTATGCAAGTTTGTTCAGATGGAGGAACTTTGTTTATGAACCACTTGTCCATATAGTGCCTTCCATTAAATTGGAAACAACCCTTCCACGAGTGCCAAAAGCTTCCTGATAGTCACTAGCATCTAATATGTCTGCTTGGGATATGTTCAAGACTCTGTGGATATTGTTAACCATGGATAATAGTATATAGAATCCTATATTTTGGATCATACCTGGACTGGAAGGATATCATAGAATAACACTGAAGAACTTAGAGAAGCCCTCACTTTTGGGAAGGAATATGTTTTGTGCGTGGGTTGGTGAAACCATGGATATCAAATCCTTGGGAAAGGGTTTGTGTGCCATACTGTATTACCTATACCTTTTTAAAAATAGAATTCATTGTTTTTTTATTATTGTTTAAACATTGCCAAGACTAACACATTATCATTTTACAAAGGTGATGACAGTTCCAAAAGTGACTCCGAAAGCAGCTCTGAAAGTGATTCTGGTGAGTGTTCATCTTATCTTACATATTAACAGTGTACCATTGCCTGAGTATTGATCCTTAGTAACCAAAATGTTGTCAGCTATGGAAAAGCCAGTTGTTTCCCTCTACATGAGGTTTATGGGTTAAGAACATAAAGGAAAAAGACCGTTTGGCATCTTAAAAATAATGGTTGTTGAAGTCTGTGTCAAATTGCTAGTCATGGCAACAACAGGCCATAAATATGCATAGAAATTGGCAGCGAAAGTGGCAAAACAGGATGGGCAGGAAAAGAATGAGAGGAAACGGTGGCTGTCAGTAAGCAGCAAATATATTTCGGTGTGCATTTGTTAATATCTCCACACCAGCTTGTTTTAAACATTCAATGTTACAGGGTTGTTTTAAACATCCAGCAATAAGATCTTTTCCTTTACAGATAACAGTGAGGCAGATGCAGAGGAACCAAGTGAGTCCTTTATATTTTATTACCTTTCATTGCTTTTCTCTAAGAAGGAGGTTTGCAAAAACAGTTTGAGATTGTTTGCTCTTCACATCTTATAGTTTAACTTTTGCTGATTTGATTATTTACTGATGTGATTAACAGTTTCTGTCTAGAAATCTCTAGGGACCTCATCCCATTTGGGGGAAAAACAGGGGGAATTGTCGTCTTTGCATGGCATTTCATTGGGTTCCAGCTTTAAAGAAGACAGAGAATTTACTCACCTCATCACACAGGATTGTCTCTTCCTCTTTCTAGCTCAACCATCCGCTTAGTTCCCCATCACACAGGCTGGCAATTGTCGCATATTTAAAACACTCCTTTCAATGGGAACTTCCACTCTTCTCTTTGAATTCCTCTCCTTGTGTAGATCAACGGACTTTTAGGACTCTTTCCCGTCATCATTTTCCCCCTTTGAAACCCCCCACTTTTAAATACACTTTCAAAGGAATCTTCCCTCCTTTTTGAATCTGTCCTCTTGGGAGACCAGCACATTTTAAAAATACTTATTTCAATGAGAACCACACCGTCTTTAAACCCTAATGGCAACAGAAGGATCATGGAGGGGCACTTTATGAAACAGAGTGTAATGGAGAAATTTGATGGCGCAGCAGGTTAAACCAATGAGCTGCTGAACTTGCTGACTGAAAGATCGGCAGTTTGAATCTGAAGAGTGGGATGAGTTCCTGCTGTTAGCCACAGCTTCGGCCAACGTAGAAATTCAAGAACACGCACATGTGAGTAGATCAATAGGCACCACTTCAGTGGGAAGGTAATGGTGCCACATGACCTTGGAGGCGTCTATGAACAATGGCTTAGAAATGGAGATGAGCACTGCCCACCAGAGGTATACATGACTAGACTTAATGTGAAGGGGAAACCTTTACCTTTACCAGAGAAATTCATCAGTTCCTATCCCATGGATAAATACCTATTTTCAGGCATTTCTACAGACATGTAATGGAGTGGAGTCATTTTGTGCCCAGCTTTGAAATCCTCTTGCTTTTAGGACTCCTCTTGTGGAGAAGGAGTCTTAGAAGCAACTACAGGAAACAGTCCTTTGTTGTTTGCTGGGCTCCGTGGGGGTGTGTCTTTGAACTGTTTTTGAAATGTGTAGAAATGGAGGAGGAAAACTGTCTGATGAAGTCCTAGGTCTTCCAGGGCAACTCTGTGTCAACCTCAGATGGGAGGTGATCATAAACTCACACTGAAGGACCTGGATATTCCTAGAGAGAGGAAATAGTAATGACATCCCGTGTTTCCAAAATCAGAACTCATTTTAAACTCCATTCTGGAAATGGAAGCCACACCTTCCTTACATATCACTTTTTCAACCACTTTATCCTATTAATCTTTTCTTTACAGAGAAAATACTTTCCAGATCATTTAAAATGGCCTCCACATTAACATTTGTCATTGTTGTAACATTCAAAACATACTAACATTAAATATATTAATGTAGATCATTTTGTAGTTAAAACATTAATGACATGTTTTCTTGAATTAAAAATTTCCCTTAAAAAGAAAAAAATGCCCCCACTTTTACAAATGACCTTTAAATGAAAATAATGCTTGAGAGATAATGAGTAAACATTATGCCACATTAGCATTAACATTAGACCATGAAAAAGAAACCATTATTCTATTACCATTCCACACCTGGAAGTGAATTTAGGGAGTTAATTATATGTTGTAATGAGTAGCTTTTAATCTTGTAATATATTACGAAAGGTGAATACTGATGCTGGGAGAAAAATGGATTCAGTTTTGTGATAATAGATTGTACAACTCTGTGTTGAACAGAATAGAATAGAAATAACTTTATTGTCATTGTACATTGTTGTTGTTGTTGTTCATTCATTCGGTCGTTTCCGACTCTTTGTGACCTCATGGATCAGCCCACGCCATTATACAAAAAAAAATATTAAAAAATTAAATGTTTTCCCAGCACACACCACAAAACAAGGGCAGTTCCAGACAAGACTTTGATTCACACCCAGTTGGGTTTAAAAAACCTGACTGGGTCAGCATTAGAGTCCACACACACCCCAAAAAGCTTGTGCTTTTCTAAGGGGGGGGGGTGTCCAGATGCTCTGTCGGACCTTCCATCAGGGCACCTGCACACAAAAGAAATCCCCCCAGAAAAGCCTTAAAAATAACTTACCCGGTTGACATGTCCCTTCTGCTGGCCCTTTCCTGGGGTGTAGAAATAATGCTCCAGGAGAAGGAGGGGCAGGAGTGATTTTCCGCTTCCCCTCTTCTTCTAGCACATCATTTCTAATTGCGAGGAGAGGGCTGGCAAAAGGAAAATGCTGACTGGCAAAATTATTTTTCCTTTTTAAGTCTTTTTAACGAGGTGTGGGCTGTCTTGGGTTTTTAGGGCTCCAGGAGCCCAAAATTCCCAAGACAGCTGTGTGGATTGGAACTGAAAGTCACAGAACTAGATCCCTGGACACAATCCACACAGTACCCACAGCTCAAAAGACCCAGGTCTTCTGAAAGACTCGGGTATTTCCAGCTATCAAATTACTTTGGCACAAAGCAGGGTTTTCCTGCTTTGTCCCAGGGGAATTAATTGTTATCTAAGGCATTGTTTGGACGCCCCACGTAAAAACGTGGGAGGGTGTGCATTTTCCATCCTGTGTGGGTTTGCCCCAATGCACCCATCACTCTACACTTCCACCACTATCACACAGCCACTAATTCCACATTAATGTGAAGCCATGGAGTGTTTCCTGGAATGATGGTAGATATAGCACATGCCAAATAATTAATGCAAAGCACAAAATGGCAGAATAAACTTGAAAACAAAGAAACAAGGTGCTTATTTTAGCATGCCACCTGTAAACATCTGCAGAAAGTATTCATTTGGATCATGATTGATAATGGTGCATACAATTTTTTTTACAGATGATGATCCAGAAAACAAAGAATCACAGCTGGGTTGTGTTGAATCAGGTACAATATCTTTGTTGGAATGACGTTTGCTGATGATTTCAGTAATTTCCATTTGGAAAAAAAATTCTTTCTCTGATTCAATTTAGAGGCGAATATCCAGCAACACTGTGAACACTGCAAGATCCAACAAGTAAGTTTTCAAAATTCAGCCAGGGCTTTGTGTTCATTGTTTCATAAAGGCAACCCTGCCGTCTTACTAATTTGTCTTTCTTTTTTTAAAATCAAAGGGTCAACAAGAACAAGTAACCCCAAGAAGACTATCTAGAGGGCAACTTTGGTAGGTTTTATTCAATATACGGAAAGCTGAAACTCAATAATTAGAATGGCTAAGGATTGCTTTCGCTACAGCATGACACCATTCTTAAATGAAGTTGTTTTCACTAGTAAACATTGGTACAGATTTCTTTCTTCCTTCCTTTCTTTTTAGAAGTGCTTTCCTTAAATTAAATTTGGACAGAGAAAGATTAAAAAAGGAGCTTGCTTACTATTGTTAGGACAAAACAGTTGTAGCAACGCCAATGTTCCACTTACTCAACTGTATTTGGAAGGAGAAGAAAGGGAGAGAAAAAGGGGGAAATGCATATGGTGTGTGCAGAAAGATAATGCTTAATGTATCTCTTGTGTAGGTTGAAGCTGGATGGAGAAGGAGTTTATCAGTGTACTATCACAGGGTTGATCTTTGAAGTAGCCAAAGGTGCTATCATTGAATATTCCCTTTTGTCTTGGACCAAGTACGCTGCGTATATTAAAGAACCCTGGATTATTGTGGGTCCTATATTTGATGTCAAATGTACAACACCATCTGCTCTTACTTCCATTGAGTTTCCACACACTCTTTGCCTTAATGGTAAGATTTGTTCAACTATTACTAAATATATTCATATATCTATGTACCAGGACACGTTTTATGAAAACTCTGTTGTTTTGTTATTTTTCTGCAGAGCATTTGTCTGATGTAACTTTCAATGTGTTCCACTTCAAAAATAATGGTCCAGAATTCGAATGTTCTGTTGATCACTCAACCACACACATCAAATGGAAAGTGAGCTCATTGTCTCCTGTTGGACCAGTAATTGAGAGATATGATCCAGTGTACTACCATGGAGTTGTTATTTTATACAAAGTTGTCAGTAACCTGCCTTCCTTGGAATTCCGTGTATATATGGCTAGTAACAACAGCTCTGTCATAAAGGTAAGATCAAGTCTGTGCTATCACCTTCCCTGATAATATCAATATAGAATATGTTATGTACTCCCACAGCATGGTTCGAATCTGGGGAGCAGGGTGAGCTCCCGCTGTTAGCCCCAGCTTCTGAAAACCTAACAGTTCAAAAACATGCGAATGTGAGTAGATCAATAGGTACCGCTTTAGTTGGAAGGTAACAGCACTTCACGCAGTCATGCCAGCCACATGACCTTGGAGGTGTCTACAGACAACGCCAGCTCTTCGTCTTAGAAATGGAGATGTCCACCACTGCCCAGAGTCAGACATGACTAGACTTAATGTCAAGGGAAACCTTTACCTAGAACCTACTAGAGTTGGTAGCTGTTAAATGAATAAACAAATGTAATATGCAGTTGTGGCAAAATGGCAGTGTAGGTGGTAGTATTGAATAGGACTGAAATTTCAGGCCTTCTGTGTCCTCCCATGTGGGAAATGAAGCAAGAATGAACCTTGAAAATGAGCAGGAAGGCAAACAAAAAACAAAAGACCTACAAAGCCCCAGCATTGGTTTATGTGTCTCAACCTACTACCAGTATTGGTTGAAACAGATAAAGTTTATTTCAAGCATCAGTATTTCATCGAATCGCAGAGTTGTGTAGACAAAGTGCACAAATATCTAGTGCATAAGTGATAATTTTTATCTAAGGTTCATGTGACCAGCGCAGAGTGTATCCAGAAATTGTTTGTAGTTTATGAGGAAATTCCTAGGATCCGACACTGCTGTGTTGCATTTGAAGGTGCAGCATTGACCTCCATATATGTATTTATCTTTGTGTTTATCTCCCTTGATGAACAGTCATCAAGTAACAGCGAGGTGAGCTTTGGTTTCAGATATTAATGTGCTGTTTAGGTAACAGTGTGCTGTTCATCTGAGCCCTACCCTTTATGGAGTACGAAGGATTATATGCCCATATATTTATGTACATTGATTTAAGTTGGAATCCCAATTTCCACAGTAAATTTTCAACTTTGCTGTAAAGATAAATCCACACTGATGTATTGTATAATTCTTCAGTTTCTTCACCTGGTAAATCATAATTAAAATAGGTCTGTTTTTTAATTTTAGGATGTTTCAAAATCAGTAAAACGTTCTCCGAATGCATTCATCAAAATTGAGAAACCTCCTTGTCACAAATTACTTCAAGGTGGAAAAAAATACAGATTAATTAGTGATCCAGAAGCCGATATCACTCCTGAGGTATGTTCTTCACTCTTCTACAATTAGCTCGCCATCAAGTGTGATTGTGAAATTGTGAAAGATAATAATTTCATAATTGTCATTGCTGATTCTAAGGCACTTGTTACTGTAATTACTTTCTGGTACTATTATAAAAATAATTACTCCCACATAGAGAAAGATGTTTTCTGAAATCCAACTCCATTTTGACACTTGAAGTAAATTTTTAATGCTTTGATCTCCACTTCTAGGAAATTGAGTTTGGTGATCACTCTTCCTTAGCAGAGAAACCTTTTTTTGAAGTATATTTGGAACAGCCAGTGGAACTTACATTGTCTTTAGTGGACTTGGAGTCTGAAGAAACTGTGTGGAGAGCAAAGTTAAGAGAAAGTAAGAATTCCTTAGACATAACCTAGTGCATAGTAAATGCACTCAAATCCAATCAGGATGCATGTACACCAGGCTTGGGCAAACTTGGACCCTCCAGGCGTTTTGGACTTCACTTCCCAGAATTCCTGACAGCCTCAGGCCCTTTCCTTTAAGTAGCTGAGGGGGAAAAGGGCAGAAGTTTGCCCATGCCTGATCTATACCGTAGAATTAATGTGGCTTAACTCCCATAACTCTGTGTTATGGAATTATGGGAGTTATATTTTACAAGGACTTTGGCCTTCTCAGCCAAAGAGTGCTCATGCTTCATCAAACTACAAAAATACCAGGATTTAATAGCATCAAGCCATGGTAGTTAAAGTGATGTCAAACTGCATTGACTCTATAGTGTACAGTAGATCAGACCTGCACAACCTGTGGCTCTCCAGGTGTTTTGGACTTCAGCTCCCAGAATTCCTGACCATTGGACAAGCTGGCTAGGGCTCCTGGGAGCTGGAGTCCCAAATATCTGGAGGGCCCCAGGTTGTGCAGGCCTGGTATAGATCTTGTCCTGGTTTACTTGAGATTATTTAGTAACAAAATGTGGTCTGCTCTATTATCAAACCATTTTTTGAACTCAGGTTTAATTCTATTTTAAGATTTACCTTTTGTATGTTTTTAATTGTATTGCTTCTTATGTGTCAGCTGCTTTGGGTCTCATATCTGAGAAAAAAAGAAGGGTAAAATTAAATATAATAGTAATGATAAGACAATGGTGGTAATGGGAAATAGAGAGCTACTTTTGTGTAGTTTGTTCTTTGTGTAGGTCAAGTTATTTCTGACCTATGACAACCTGAAAGCAAACTTATCAGAGGTTTGCCATTGTCTTCCTCTGAGGCTGAGAGAGTGCAACTTGCCTAAGGTTTCCTTGTAGATTTCATAGCTGAACAGGGATTCAAACACTGGTCTCCAGAATGATAGTCCAATGCACAAACTGATAGACCGCTAGTCCTAAACAATGTAAATACCTCCATAGAATACAACCTGTAATTTTTGTGTTATGATCTTTGAAAATCAAAATCATTTTTATTCACAACTAATATATAAAATTGCAGGGGGTTTTTTTGGTGCCAGGAGTGACTTGAGAAACTGCAAGTTGCTTCTGGTGTGACAAAATTAGCTGTCTGCAAGGATGTTTGCCCCAGGGACTCCCGGATGTTTGATGTTTTTACCATCCTTGTGGGAAGCATCTCTCATGTCGCCGCATGGGGAGCTGGAGCTGATAGACAGAGCTCAACCCGCTTTCCCCGGATTCGAACTGCTGACCTGTTGGTCAGCAGTCCTGCCAGCACAAGCATTTAACCCATTGCTGGCAGGACTGCTGACCACTGGTGGAAAGAATGGAAGGAATATTATTTTATTATTTGCAGTGGAAGGAATATTATTTTAAAATGCTTTATATTTTAGATAGTATTTTAAATAAAAGAAATAATGATTGTGAAATAAGAAATTGTTCTCTCATTTTATAAGCTAACTCTTTTTGGATTATATTAATATTACATACAAAATTTTAAATGAAGTGATGCAGTTATCACCTAGATAGTCTATTATACTTCTTCCGTTCCTGCTGTTGCTTTCTATTACCATCACACCGATGAAAGATTTGGCAAGTTGGGCTAAAGGTCAAAAGTACTCTTTAGTCATTTCCCCATAATTTAGAATAAATGTAATATTATGACTACCCTGCAATTCAGTGGCAATTACTGATAAGATCATTTCATTCCTAAAGTCAGTTTAATATTTTTTCAAAGGTATCTTTTGAGTGCTCACTTTTCCATTTTCATATAATTGCATCTATCCAGATCTACTACCCAATCCAGTCAAACATATTGTGTCTTTTAATGATTCAGAGATTATTTTTAGATGATGGATTTGAATGCATTAATATTGGTTTAATCCATAAGACAGCTGTACTGATTTAGAAGTTTTATGGAGAGCACCAGAGTCATAGTCCAATGCTCAAACCACTATACCATTAGGCCAAGGCAAAAGATGCATTCAGAGAAGGGCAAAGACAGGAAATCTTGTCAAGAAAGCCTCCTGATAGGTTTGCCTTAGGCCCCATCTACACTGCCAAATAATTCAGTTTCTGAATCCAGAATATAATCATCATCATCATCATCATCATCATCATCATCATCTACCTCTGCCCCATCTCCCAAAGGGACTTGCTGCAGATTATAACATGGATAAATACAATTGTATTTATCTGTTTTAAACTGGATTATATTGCAGTATAGACTCATAATTCAGTTCAAAGCAGATACCCTGGATTCAGAAACTGGATTATATGGCAGTGTAGATGGGGCCTAAGAGTTGTCATAAGTAAGGCTGAATCTACACCGACCTATAATCCAGTTTCAGAATGTGGAGCAATTGAACTGGATTATGCCAGTCTACACAGCCCAATAATAATAATAATAATAATAATAATAATAATAATAATAATAATAATAATAATAATAATCTTTATTTATACCCCGCTACCATCTCCCCAAGGGACTTGGTGCGGCTTACATGAAACTGCACCCACAATACAACAATACAAGCAATAACAATAACAATACATGCATTTAAAAATAAATCACATAGACAATAACATAAGCATTGACAATAGTACAAATCAATGCAGTTAATCCTGGATCAATGCAGTTAATCCACATTTAGAAACTGTATTGTAGGGCAGTGTAGATCCAGTTAATCCACATTCAGAAACTGTATTATAGGGCAGTGTAGATCCAGTTAATCCACATTCAGAAACTGTATTGTAGGGCAGTGTAGATCCAGTTAATCCACATTCAGAAACTGTATTATAGGGCAGTGTAGATCCAGCCTAAGAAATAACTCGAAGGTACAAAATAACAACACAATGAAAATTGGCTTTAAAATGACTTGTCATTTGCTATGGAAGGTGAAACTTATTTTGGTGACAGAAATCTTTGAGTGGTGAAAATTGTAAAACTGTTTTGTTCATGCTTTCCTGAAAATGTGAACTATAGGAATATATCTAGGAGAGAACTGTAGTGTATTTGTTAGCGGTGCAGATGACTGTACAGCAGTTTTTAATTTTCTTTTGAAAACATTTCTATTTCACAGGTGACTGGACTGTACCTAGCCAGAATGACAATAAGCCGAAAAGAATCACTAATGGTAAGTTATGTAAAACCATAAGTATAGTTCAATTTCATCTGCATTTTGTATTGCCATTCATTTCACTTCATTGTATAGGAGAAGTTCTCAATGAGACTATTCTAATGTCATTGCAACTTTCACCATGGTCACCTATTTAATTTATTTTCTCATTTGAATTTGTATTCTATCTTGCACCCAAAATTGGGTCTTAAATTGATCTTTAAGGATTTTACTGCATAATAATAGTAATAATGATAATAATTTATATCCCACCCCCTCGCCAAGCAGGACTTGGTGCGGCTTACAACAAATAAATCACAGTACAAAATCAAAGCAAAAGTAAAGCCAAATACATAAATGGCAATATCACAAAATAAATAAAACAAACAAGAATAACAATATTGTAGTAAAAACACAAGTTGACATTTTTGCTGGATTTAAAACATAGTTGTACACTAGGGCAAAACCAGTTCAGCCAGTTCGTATTTGTACAGTTGTAAAATCACCATCATGATCAATTATAAGTTAGTCGTTTCTAAATGCTAGCTTCCATATCAATGTTTTCAATTATTTCTTGAAGGTTGCTAGGGAGGGGGCCAGTCTGATTTCTTTAGGAAGGGCATTCCAGAGCCAGTGGGTCACCACCAAGAAGGCCCTTTCCCCCATTCCCACCAGCTGTGCTTGTGAGGGTGGTGGGACTGTGAGAAGGGCCTCCCTGGAGAACCATAAGGCCCAAATAGGTCCTTAGAGGGAGATGTGGTCATGCATATAGGCTGGACCGGAACCATAGAGGGCTTCATAGGTGATAGCCTGCACTTTGAATTGGGCCCAAAAACACACAGGCATCTAGTGGAGCTGTTTTAACAAGGAAGTACTACTAGTAGTAGTAGGATGATGAAGAAGATGAAGACAAAGAGGAAGAACTTTATTTTTCTACCCTGCCTCCACCTTCCCAAAGGGACTCACTACCTCTGAGGATGCTTGCCATAGATGCAGGTGAAACGTCAGGAGAGAATGCCTCTAGACCATGGCCATATAGCCCGAAAAAACCTACAAGAACCCAGCCATGAAAACCTTCGACAATACAAGTACAGGATGTCTGTGACAAAATGACTGTGTTGACTCCAAATAAGAATTTGGACTCACAATGAAATGTTCCTTCAGTCCCAAATTCCTAGCATTGCAGAGAGGGGCCATTGAAAATTATTTATACCCATAACATTTCCTTATTCACTAGGGGTGCATCTTCACGGTAGAATTAATCCAGTTTGACACCACTTTAAAATGCCATGGCCCAGTGCTGTATACTCTTGGGGGTTTTTTAGTTTGGTGAGGCACCCACACTCTTTGGCAGGTAAGTCGAAAGGCCTTGTAAAACTAAAACTCTTAACAATTCCATAGCATTGAGCTATGGCAATAAAAGGGATATCAAAATGAATTAATTCTACAGTGTAGATATACCTTCTGCATTCATAATCTGAGCCTTGAGGAGTAATATGCTTAGTGTGAATCCAACTCCAAATGGCTGTCAAAATGCAACATTTGAATGCTATGTCCTTTATTTGTTTTTCTCAGGCATCAGGAGACGTAAATCCAGTAACAGTCTTTCCGGTGATGAGCTTTACAATAAACGGCTAAAGGGTAATGACATTTCAGGTAATAATTATAATTGTAATAATGTATAGTTAAATAACAATTATCATGAGTCACATTTTATCCTCCCATTCTGCAATATACAGGTTGAGCCTCCCTTATCTGGTAATGCCTGGGACCAGAAGTATTTTAGATTTTGCACACATGTACATAATGAGATATCTTGCAGATGGGGCCCAAGTCTAAATGGAGACATCATTTATGTTTAATTCATGCTTGAATGTACTTTTAGGTTAGGTAAAGGAAAAGGTTTTCCCCTGACATTAAGTCCAGTCATGTCCGACTCTGGGGGTTGGTGCTTATTTCCATTTCTAAGCCAAAGAGCCGGCGTTCTCCGTAGACACCTCCAAGGTCATGTGGCTGGCATGACTGCATGGAGCACCATTACCTTTCCACTGGAGCGGTACCTACTGATCTACTCACATTTGCATGTTTTCGAACTGCTAGGTTGGCAGAAGCTGGGGTTGGCAGAAGCTGTTATGTTTGAATAATTTCAAAGTTTGTGTACATTGACATATCAGGAAGTAAAAGTTTCAGGAAGTAAAGGATTTCTGAGTATTTAGGGTTTTAGAATTCTAGGTAAGGGTTTCTCCACCTGTACTAATGATTAAATTTGATTAGTACACATGTAATAACAACTTCATTTGTTAATATCATGCATATGTATAGAACGTCAAAGAACATATGATCTGAATATGGAGGAAAATATGAATAGTTTTTGCAAGTATAAAGGTAGGTCTCTTTAACACTGCTAGATAGATAATAGCATAATCTGTCGATTCCATGTATTTATTTATTTTATTTCAAGCATTTGTACCCCACCCTTCTCTACCCCTGGGGGGGACGGACTCAGGGCTGCTTACATTCGGCACAATTCGATGCCACTACATACACATAATATATACAGTAATTACATATGAATAATACATTAAATTAGTTTTAAAATTTGTTTAAGGCTAAAAAGTTGTGGGATACAGTTATGGCAATTTGATATCAAAGGTGCCTTCCACACATCTGTAAAAAATCCACATTGAACTGAAATATATGACAGTGTGGACTCAGATAACCCAGTTCAAAGCAGATATTGTGGATTATCTGCCTTGATATTCTGGGTTACATGGCTTTGTGGAAGGGCCCAAAGTGATATGTAATAGAGACCTTAGCCCAAGCATGGACAAACTTGGGCCCTTCAGATGTTTTGGACTTCAACTCCCACAATCCCTAACAGCCAGAGGTCCAAAACACCTGGAGGGCCCAAGTTTCCCAATTTTTGCTTTAGTCTCTGAATGCAGTGTGCTATGTCAGTAAGTGACCACTAGAGGGAGATACTTGATCATTTTCATTTGTTGCTGATAGCTAGCTGCCTTTAAGTTGACTTCATACTTCTAAACTAATATTGAAGGACAACTTTAGTTATTATGGAGAGGTTCCAACTAGACCTATTAAATCAGGGGTCCTCAAACTTTTTAAAAAGAGGGCCAGCTCACAATTCCTCAAACTGTGGGAGGGCTGGATTATAATTTGAAAAAAAAAATGAATGAATTCCTATGCACACTGCACATATCTTATTTTTAGTGCAAAAAACACTTTAAAACAATACAATAATTAAAATGAACAAATTTAACAAATATAAACTTATTAGTATTTCAGTGGGAAGTGTGGGCCTGCTTTTGGCTGATGAGATAGGATTGTTGTTGTTATGTTCTTTCAAGTCATTTCAGACTTAGGTTGACACTGAGCAAGGGCCAGGTAAATGACCTTGGAGGCCTGCATCCGGCCCCTGGGCCTTAGTTTGAGGACCCCTGTTGTTCTTGTATGGCAGTACCAGGGGCTCCAACTTTATTTGCTTTATATTAAAGGTTTGCCTGCAGTCCTAGGCTTGGAATTTTGCAGCAGGGTGGCTTCCTGTTAAAGTTTGCAGTTATAGGGCAAGCCACCTGTCCATCATCATTTAGCTTTGGTTCCGCCCCTTATTCTGGGCTCTGGGAAGAGAGAAGAACCATTTTAGTCAGTCACTCACAAGGAAGCCAGTCTATAGGACGCAAATCAGTTTGTCCCATAGGAAAGGCTTCATTCCTCAAGACCATCCGGGGACCATCCGGAAACTATCCGGGGAAACAGAAGGAAAAGATCCCAAAGGCTCTGGCTGAGAGCTCACAGTCTCTCAGCCTCACAACACCAGAGGGGAAAAACACCCTTGAAGTTCCCATTAGACAGCATCACAGAACCACAGAATTCCAGCTGCAATATCTTCAAGCCTCAGCCGGTAAGGTCTGCTCGATACCCAGACGCACGTGGATTCAGTAGTAGTACCCACGCCAATGAGGCATAGATAGAAAGCAGCCTAGGAGAGATTATAAAGAGTTCTTCCTCATGCTGAGAGTATAGTTAATCTAAGTCAGTGCCGGTCTCTTAAAGACTAGAATAGAAAAGCCTTGAAGTATTGTTTGAAGATTTGTTCCTTTAGAGTCTTTAATCTACCATTAAAGACTCTAAAGCCCATTACTTCAGGAAATCTCTAACAATCTCTCTTCGGGCACCCCGGCTTCCCACTGGGTTTAAAGTGTACGTCCTATAGAAAAAAGACAATTTGTTTGGACCCAGTGTGCGACAGAACACCTGTATTAGATACTTCATCACACCAGATTAAAAATCCACTTAAAAAAAGTTTCTGCCTCCATCAGAATTCTAGGTTTGCAATTTAGGGAGGAACCTCACACTTTTAAAACCCACTTTGGCACAGATTATGGGGCAATCTGGAAGCACCTTATTACCTCCTGGGGTTTAAAGGGAGAGCAAAAACAATAACTATATAACTGTTTTGTATTTCCATTCTTTTAGATGGCGTTAAAACTAAAACAGTGTTAACTGATCAACAGCTGATGATCCTTGCAAAGAAGATGGGTAAAGACTGGAAAGTGCTTGGAATTCAGTGTCTCAAGGTGTCTGTTGAAGATATTGAGCAGATTGAGGCAAAAGATGAAGATATCAATATATATAAATGTATGATGCTGCGCAAATGGAGGGATTCTGAGCAAAACAATGGAACTGCCCAAAGTTTATATGATTGCATAAAAGGCGATGCATCCTATGAAGTGCTACAAATTCTAGAAGGTAAGTATCAACTGTCTTTAGACTTTGTTTCTCCATGATGTTTTAGCTACTCAGAAAGTAAGTGTAGCAGAAGTGATTTAAAGCAAAGTGTCTTCAGTGTCCTGCAAATTGAAGTATGCTACAGTGTGGATTCTAACTGTCAAAACCTCAAAGCAAAAACTCTGGCCTGTTGGTTTCTCCCATGTCTCTCATATGTGGCCCCTGCTTTCTCTTCTTCTTTCCTGTGATTAAATCTTTCCTGTGCTTGTCTTGTGTGCAAGAGCTAAGGTTTGTTCGTTGCTAGTGGTGATGCAGTAAGATCTGCTATAACGCAATAGTTGTGGTCCTTAAAATAGCAATTTGTGCTGTAAAAATAACTGGACTTAGAGAGACGATCTCAGTAAGCATTACTCATTTCTAAGCTGTGTGTATGTGGTTTTGGCAGTTTTTTCCTCAGAAATATCGCCAACAGCACCTGGTATTTATAGGCAGTCTCTTATCCAAGTACTAACCAGGGCTAAGCAATGCTTATTTAATTCACCACATTTTTTATTATGCTGAAAATAAAACTGCCTGGGTCTTGGGAGTTTCTCTACTTGTGTGCATATCTGTTGCTGCTGTTGCACAGACACACAATACATTGCTAGATTTACACTTCCAGGAGCAGCAGAAGCAAAGCTAGACATTTGTACATTGCAGAGACTGGTGTTTGAGTGGGGCACAAACTCCCCCATTCCATGATTTCTTCCTTTCCCTCCACTCTTCTTCTTCCAACAACTTGCCATTGGCAAACATGGACTCCTGCAATGTGGGAAAGTGTAGCATCACTACCTCTGAGGATGTTTGCCATAGATGCAGGTGAAACATCAGAAGAGAATGCCTCTAGACCATGGCCATATAGCCCGAAAAAACCTACAACAACCCAGTGATTCCGGCCATGAAAGCCTTCGACAATACGTGTAGCATTATTGCTGCTGCTGATCCTGAAGCTCCTTCTACACTGCTATATAAAATCCAGATTATCTACTTTGAACTGGATTTTATGACAGTGTAGAAGAGGCCTAAGCCTAGTAAGTGCTATGTGTTAATTCAGTAGAGGAGGAGTCTGGATAACTTGAACAAAAATGTGTGGTGGTGGTTGTGACCAGAGGTGAGGGAGCGGAGAAGAGAAGCAGGGCTTCAATGGTAGAGGACAAAGGCATGACAGAAAGATAGGGGCTACGATGTGGAGAAAGGCAACAAGCATTTGCCAAGTAATTGCCTTGTGGAAGGGCCACCTTGGGTTGATTCAGCTCGGCAGGGAGCTGGTGGGATTCTTCCTGGAACGGAACAATTAAGGGTGCATCCAGAGAGCTCCTTTAAAGTGGGAGTTCATGCATTTTAAAGTGGTCTGTCCAGACAGTGTCCCACAGAAAAAAATGAATTCATTTGCTACAAACCAGGAAAACCCTGGTTTATAGAATCGTAAAATCATAGAGTTGTAAGAGACCTCATGTGCCATTCAGTTCAACCCCCTTCCAAAAAGCAGGAAAACTGGTTTGTCATGAATTAATTTGTTAGTGGGTTTGGAAGGTGCGGGACAAATCCACTACTTCTGCTTTCTGGACTACTGGACTTTTGAGGAGGCAGTCCAGACAGTAGTCCCACACTTTTCTGGGCTAAATTAGCCTGGAAAACTGTGAGGACACCAACTTCCTTCTCTCCCCCCACCACCCTTTATCCTGGCACATCATTTCTATGTGGCAGGAGAGCTCCAGCACCACGTTAATGGAGGTCAGGTAAGTTCTTTTATTTTTAAAAGGGATTTTGGGAGTGCATCTGTATACTTGCACCTGAAAGCACACGCTTTCTGGGCAGTTTATAGATTAGAACCCAGAAACATTCATGTTTCTAAAACGTGAATATTCCCGGTTTAAAGGGCTATCTGGATGCACCCTAAGATGAGAGGAGGTGAGGCTGCTACTTAATAGCTGAGATGTAGAAAGATGTCAGTTTGCCAGTTTTGACTGCTTATGATGGGAATTGCACTATAGCCAATTATAAGATCATGATCTAATTACATGCTATGGCAGAGCTTACTCTATTATATAATATTGCAACAGTTGTGATTGTACTAAAGCTAAAGTTAATAAGGTTGCTTCAGCATTAAAGTTGCACCTAATAAATGTGTGACACTATGAAAGACCCAGCTGGTTATTTCAAATCGATTATTCCCATTTTTTGTCTTCTCAGATTTACTTTTGAGATGTACTTTTCTACATATTCTTCTACAACAGGGGTGGAGATCATACACCCCTCAGGTGTTTTGGATTGAAACTCTATGGACTCCAATAACATCTGGAGTAGTAGTTCTCAGCCTGTGGATCCCAGGTATTTTGGCCTTCAACTCCCAGAAATCCCAGCCAGTTTATCGGCTGTTAGGATTTCTGGGAGTTGAAGGCCAAAACATCTGGGGACCCACAGGTTGAGAACCACTGACCTATAGGGTCACAAGATTTTCACCCTGCTTTAGAACACCTTTGAACAAGAGTAAGAAATTATTAGCCTGTCAGCTGTTGTTGAACTACAGTTTACATCAGTGGTTCTCAACCTGGGGTCCCCAAATGTTTTTGGCCTTCAACTCCCAGAAATCATAACAGCTGGTAAACTGGCTGGGATTTCTGGGAGTTGTAGGCCAAAAACATCTGGGGACCCCAGGTTGAGAACAACTGGTTTACATGGTCCACCACCATGATTATGCTGCCTAGAATTGTTGGGAGTTAGATTTGGAATGCTACATGCATGTTGTCTCTGTTATGGACCATTTCTTCCCTACAATAGAAGCATAACAGGTAGTAATATATCAATCTTCATGAATCTTTTGATGACACTCTGTCCAAAACAATGTATATTGTAGAAATGGAAAGTGGAACCTATATATAAACTACAAAACATTATTCGATCTGGCAGTCTTCAGGCCAAGAAGGCAGAAATTACCTGATCTGTTTCTTATCTAAGGCACTGGAAAGCTTTCAACTTCTGCCACTCAAATCTATAGTCATAATCATAGAATTATAGAATCATAGAGTTGGAAGAGACCTCATGGGCCATCCAGTCCAACCCCCTGCCAAGAAGCAGGAAAATTGCATTCAAAGTACCCTCGACAGATGGTCATCCAGCCACTGTTTAAAAGCCTCCAAAGAAGGAGGTTCCACCATACTCCAGGGCAGAGAGTTCCACTGCTGAATGGCTCTCACGGTCAGGAAGTGCTTCCTCATGTTCAGATAGAATCTCCTTTCTTGTAGTTTGAAGCCATTGTTCCGCGTCCTAGTCTCCAGGGCAGCAGAAAACAAGTTTGCTCCCTCCTCCCTATGACTTCCTCTCACATATTTATACATGGCTATCATATTTCCTCTTAGCCTTCTCTTCTTCAGGCTAAACATGCCCAGCTCTTTAAGCCACTCCTCATAGGGCTTGTTCTCCAGACCCTTTATCATTTAAGTCACCCTCCTCTGGACACATTCCAGCTTGTCAACATCTCTCCTACACATTCTGTATTGCACTGTGAAGTAATATCGTAATGAAATTCTGTCTTAATTCTGTTTTAATTCTAAACTGTATACCACACCTCAAGGGAGAGTACCTGATTGCTGGCATGTAGGGAGCAAAACTTCTTGCTGGTGACGCCAGCCCTTATCTGGTGGTTGGATTAATTTTCTTGTGACGCAAACTAAAAAATGCAATCCCTTGTGCAAGCCTATTCAACCTGCTTATAAAAGCTAGAATCTTATTATACATTTTAAATGATTTCACGGGCCAGATTAACAGAGTGTAGGAGTAAGAATGAGGATTTAAAGCTAGCAGGATTTCTAAAGATTTATACACAGGTAATAACGGCCTTGGATAAGAAGCAGGCGTCTACTATCTCTCTGATCTGGAGGAACAAGGTTCCCTAGTTGGATTATATGTTGTGGTTTGACTTATGTGTTGTGGTTGTTTATAGGCTTAACTTTAAGTTTATACTCATACTATGTTGTTTTGGCACCAAACGATATACACTGTTACCACTGGAGATTATTTCTGGGATTCCCATAGCGCTTTGATTACGTTTCCATTGTATTTTGCATTTATATATTGTAATCCAATTATTGTCCTGTTCATTGTATAGTTTTGCCTGTCTTATGCCTGCACATGTTTGGTGTTATTCAACTTACAGTAATATATGCTGCTTTTCAACTTAAGTAATATACACTTTTCCCTGTTCCTGCCCCAAACCCCATAGAAGATCATAATTGTGGGTCTGGGTACCACCATCTTTCCATCAGGTATTTGTCCAAAGCTCACCCAGGCTAAAAGAAAATGACATATATACATGAACATAAATTGACTGGGGGATTTTATAAAATAACGATAATTTTGGCATAAAATATTTATTTCAAGTTTGTAGCCATTCTTTATTTTTGGTTCTTTGAAATAGAATTTCCATGTTTTATAGTAATACAGTCAGCTGCAGGTACTTAAAGGTGTGATCAGCAGAGTATTCAAGTATCTTATACGTGCAAGGTTGTACAATAGGATTTTGTGGTACTAAGAAGTAAACATTCAGTAAATACTGGAATAATATTATTATGTGCCTTTCACTTTGACATATGATTAAGGGGTTTCTTGTTAATATTTATTCAAAGAACGTTTGCCTTTGGCTCAGTGAGGCTGAGAGAATGTGACTTACCCAAGGTCACCCAGTAGGTTCCATGGCTGAGCAAGGATTTGAACTCTGCTCTCTTTTCCACACAGCCATATAATCCAGAATATCAAGGCAGATAATCCACAATATCTGTTTTAAACTGGGTTATCCGAGTCCACATTGTATTTTATATAGCTGTGTGGAAGAGTCCAAGGCCCCTTTTACACTGCCATATAGAATCCAGATTATCTGCTTTGAACTGGATTATATGGCAGTGTAGACTCAATCCCCTTCTCTACTGCCATATAATCCAGATTATCAAAGCAGATAATTCCAATTATCTGTTTGGAACTGGATTATATGAGTCTGCACTGCAATATAATCCAGTTTTCAAAACAGATAATCTGGATTTCATATGGCAGGGCAGAAGGGGCCTGAGATGATCCAGTTCAAAGCAGATAATGTGTATTATCTGCTTTGATAATCTGGATTATATGGCGATGTAGAAGGGGCCAGAGTAATGTTGTTCTATTCCTATATGTACCTTAACTTAGCATTGCTGTTTATTATTAATTACACCTTTATTATTATATCTATGACCACAGTATTGCTAAATGATATACAGTGCGCAAAATCATAAGACTGGAATTTGATTAATCATTTCCTATTCTTAAAACACGGGCATTTACAATAAAAAGGGGTTAAAATAAACCCATTCACTGTCTGCTCTCTCTAGGCCCTTCTATAAAAGCCCAAAATCCATGATAGATAACAGGTTTACTTGGGGCATCCAAATGATGTCTCAGGTAATTGCGGATTAATCCAAAGTAAACTGGATTCGTCCCCACCCAGGAGGAAGCAGGTTATTTTAGCTCACTTCCTCAAGATTTTAGCTAAGTGCAGAAAGGCCCTATGTTGAGCCACACAGTCTCTAAACAATGGAAAGCTCTGATTTTCCGGGATTCTGGATTGCTGGATAGTGTCCATATAAAACTCAATACTCTCCTTCTCAGACTGTTGCTCTTCATATAAAGAAACCAATTTGAGGTGTGTGCTGTTACCCTTCTTTTGGTCACATATTCAGTTTAATCCCAAATGCCTGAATAGGGCTATGATGTATCTACCCTACTGCTCCATATTCCAAATAACTCATACATTAACTATTCTTTCTTCTTCCTTTTCTTCTCCCCCCCCCCCGCCCCCTCCCAAAACCAGGTTTTTTAGCACAGACGTGAGCTCATGCAGAAGCAGAGGAAAAACAAACTTCAGGAATATTCTTTGACAATTTTCTACGTAGTTCAAATGGGATTTTGTTGTAAACTGCCAACAATCTAAAACTCTGGCAAGTTGCTGTGAAGAAAAAAATGATAAAACAGTTTGAAAACTTGGGGGTGAGATATACTTTTGGGGAGCAAGGAATCAAACAGTGCATTTTTGAGCAGTTTCCTGCTTTTTACTCAAAGATATTTTGCCATACCCAAAAGGTGAAACTTTCCTTTTTATATGTGCATCACCTGGATAAGGATGGTTCATGATTTTCCAAAATGTTCTCAGGTCTTTTGAGTTTACACTTCTTAGATGATCTATAATTGTGATAGCTAAATAGAGACTGATAATGATATATGCTGTGCACAACTCGGATGTTACCTTCCTGTTTTACATCAGAGGGAAATGTAACAGAAGGAAATGGCAGCTGCATTCTTTTGCTGTGGTTTCTGAAGCCCTGAACAGGCAGAACGGATCACGAGGCACCAGGGCTGGCTCTAGGTGCTTTTAGAAAAATGGAAAATACAACCCAATGCACCCTGCTCAGTTTGCCAAGGAAGTCCAACTTGTATACCAAGAAAAGCTAACTTCATTGCAATTACAGAAATTTGCATAACTATTGTTCAGCTATTTTAATTTGGATAATCTGATTTTGTTTTACATGGGAAAGGTAATGGGGAGAAGCAGTGCAGAAGCCTAATTACTGAAACTATTAAGGAAGCCGTTTTGATTTCTGCCATGATTATGCATCATTGCACGTTTCATAACCAAAAGATACAGAAACTTCCTTTTTCAGCAGAAGAAACAACAACAACAACAAAAATGAGATTGTGACTGGATCTACACTACCATATAATCCAGTTCAAAGCAGATAATCTGGATTTTATATGGCAGTGTAGATGAGGCCTGAGATTTTCAGGCGTCCCTATTTACTTATATCCTAGAATTACGGTGCATGCATAGCTCTGATAACTATCAATTTCCTAGAGGATTTTTAAAATAACGTTGGATAAATTTAATAGCAAAGAAATAATGAAAAACACTTCTTAGGCCCTTCCATATGGCTGAATAAAATCCCATATTATCTCCTTTGAACTGGGATATATGGTGGTGTGGACTCAGGGCCCTTCCACACAGCCATATAACCCAGAATATCAAGGCAGAAAATCCCACAATACCTGCTTTGAACTAGGAGTCCTTTCACACGGTCCTATATTCCAGAATATAAAGGCAGAAAATCCCACAATATCTGCTTTGAACTGGGTTATTTGAATCCATACTGCCATATATTCCAGTTCAAAGCTGAAAATGTGGGATTTTATTCAGCTGTGTGAAAGGGGCCATAGATAACCCAGTTCTAAGCAGATATTGTGGGATTTTCTGCCTTGTTATTCTGGGTTATATGGTTGTGTGGAAGGGCCCTTAGAATGATGGTTTGAATTCTTGAGGAGTAATTCAAGACCAGCTGTGCAATCACTGAGACACATCTTAAAGCAGATAAGCATTTGTCAATTGTATGACTCCCAAGTTGCCCATCACCCCGTCTTTAAATGTAGCATTGGCCTCTATGTGAAGGGAGTTTACATATTGGTCCTAAAATGTCATTAATTTCTTGTCTTTTTGTTGTACAGTTCTATTGTATTGTCTTATGTTGTTTTAAATAAATTGCCCATGTTTTGTATTCTATTTTGCTTGTTTCATTGCCTTGAAATATGTATGTATATACAAAAATATTTTTTTTCTTTATTTAATTGAAATTAAACAAACATTTGTTGAACAAACAGGAACTAATTCCATGTCCCTGATAGCAGTGAATGCACTTGTTAGAGATGAGTGTATTCTTGACAGTGTAAGACAGTTCCGTCAAGTGGCAGATGTTGGAGGTGGAAAATACCTGGCACAGTGCTAGAGAGCAAAGCTCTTTGTACCACATACATGGTCTGATGTTTATGTACTGCTTGCCAGAAAACCCATGCTAGTTTTTCTGCCCAGAAGTACAATGATGGATCCTGTCCCATTGCCAGGGTATAAATTGGAATTGGCTTAAAGTGTGGTCACTTTCATAGATGGAATGCATGTAAGTGTGCAAATCTGACATCTTGTCTTTGACTCATTCCTGGTGCTATTATAAGTGCCAAGCTAACAAAAATTAATCATTGCTGAAAGTTTCACCAAACAGCATGACTCAGAATTGGTAATATCAAACTATTTATAACACACACACACACACACACGTGTGTGTGTGTGTTTGTGTATGTATCTCTCTGTGTGTGTGTGTGTGTGTATGTATGTGTATATATACATACACACTGTATATATATGTACTGTATTTGTATGCTGCCTTTCTCAGCCCAAAGACAACTCAAGGCGGTTTACAGGGTAAAATTAAATGCCTACAATACCATAAATACAATTAAAAACATTAACATATAATAAAAACCATAACAACATCAATAAAAGCATAAGTCATTAGTGTCTCCTTGTTAAAAACATTGTCCGGTTCCATCATCTAGTCATTCCATATTCCTATGTTAGTTACTTTGCATTTGCGTCTTGACTTTTTTTTGAAAGGTTAAAAGGGAGGGGGCTGATCTGATATCCCTAGGGACCACCGTTGAGAAGGCCCTGTCTCTCCTCCCTGCCAGATGCACTTGTGACGAAGGCGAGACCAAGAGCAGGGCTCCCCAGACTATCTTAAGGTCCTAGATGGTTCATATGGGGAGATGCGTTCGGACAGGTAAGTTGGGCCGGAACCGTTTAGGGCTTTATAGGCCAAAGCCAGCACTTTGAATTGTGCCCGGTAGCAGATTGACAGCCAGTGGAGCTGGCGCAGCTGGGGACTTGTGTGCTCCCTGAGCGCCACTCCTGTTAGCAACCTGGCTAAACAGGAGTGTCCCTTTGGGCCATCTATATTTTGTACATAGAGTCCAGAATTCTGTATATATTTAAGTGGACTTGCAGCTGCTGGATTTAGAATTGGACAAGTCCATAACATCTGCATCCGGTAAAGGGCTGCTGTTATATTACTATGGAGAAGAGGCAGCAAAGTGATTGATGCACAGTGGGACCAATGTGCACAGATCTGGATATATATTGGTCCCATTGTGCATCAGAATTCTAGCTAGGGAGTGCCAACGTGAACTGTTTATTTTGGACCAGCCTGGCCTTTGATAACAACTTTAACAGAACCAAGTACAAACTATTTAGGCAAATAGAAACAGTCTGGATATGACAGAGACAGGTTGCATGTTTTAGATTTATGATGGATCTAAAAAGGAAAGCAGTATAGATATTGTGGCACATGGCAACAAATCAAATATCGTGAATCATCTGAAATGTAAACAAGCAGAATAAGCCAACGGCAGTAAAGTGTTTTAGTCAATCCACAAATTGCTACCTCTTTCACCTTATGGTTTCCATATGTAAACAAAATTAGATAAACCTGGAATTTCAGAATCCTGAGAATCCTGAAACCCAAACCTCTCCAAATTTGGATATTGTCCACATGGGCGGCTGAAATAGTAGCAAATTTGCTTTTTGATGACCCAGTGCAAGCAAACTTTCATGCAGAAAATTACTAAAGTATATTTTATAAAATTTCCTTTAGGTTATGTGTATAAAGTGTATCTATATAGATAAAAGTCACAATAGGCATGTTTATTTATATATTTGAACCAAAAAGTATTCTACATGGCTTGATGGATCTGGACCAAACTTGACTCATTTATCCACCATGACCAGCTTAAAAAATGGTGGGATGGTGTGTGTGTGAGAGAGAGAGAGAGAGAGAAAGAGAGAGAGAGAGAGGGAGAGAGAGAGAGAGGAGATGATGGGAATTGTAGTCCACCCACATCTGGAAAGGGGTATTAATCCAACAAATGATGGATCTGGAACAAACTTGGTACTCAAACAACCAGATTAGCTCAAAATGTTTGTGTGATTCTTGTGAGGCTGAGTGCCTACTGCCCCCCTTGGAAACACAGACTTAAGAGTATGTGTATTTGTTAACTCTTTTAGTGACAGCCAAGCCCTTGATTGCCCAAATTGGCACTTTTGCCCCTTGAGTTTTGCACCTTTGTTTCTGAGCTCCATATCTTTGTCTAACACAGAACTGGACAGTTGAGCTAATCAAAAGCTCATCAACATCTCATTGGCATTGTCCCAGGGGGCATCTCTGCAGCTGATTGGTCCTTTGCCCTGACCAATCCCCAGCCACCATTCTCCCTGCCAAGGGAATCCCCGCCTTGAAGCCATGATGTCAGTTGAGCTTTTGGACAATCCTGGCCAATCAGGAGGTAACAGGGAGGTCTGAATGGTTGACAGAACTGTATAAGATGTCTTATGTTTCTCTGTATGCTTACTCTTCTATCTTTTGAAATATATTGCGTGGCCTGGAAGTCAAAATGAGAACTCACCAGTCAAAATCTGCCCTACCTTCCTGGAAGCTTTAATTGATTAGCCTGATTTGAGACCACTTTAAATGTCATGGCAACATCCTACCTTCCTAATGACCTGTTTTGGCAGTGACTGTTGCACTTAATTCTCAGTATCCCCACTTTTACTGTTGCTCTAAAACTGTCCTCAGTTTGCCTAAATTGCATCCTTTTCAGCTGAATTGTATTAAACCTCTGAGGCTTGTCTTCAACCTGGTGAGCTGGCTTCTCTATCTTGGCTTCTCTGGTTTAGCACACACTTGCCAGGCATGGACTCTCTAAGCACGGTCCTATCTATATCGCAACAAAAGGAAACTGCTATTTTGGATTTTATTGTGGTAAATAAGTTTGCTTATTTAATCAAGCGATGTGACTGTAGAATACCTTAAAAAGCCCCATTGGACACATCGCTCCAAAAGCAAAGACAGTGCAATTTATGTAAGCATGTGAGTCAAGTAAGTCAGCTGAGCCATGTGACTGACAGCTCGGAAATGAGCGGAAAGACACTAACCACAAAAGGCCACTAGAGGGTTGCCAAAGAGGCTTATATCATCTGGGTTATATCATCTGATCAAAAGGACAACAAACTTACTGCTTTTGGTTTCAATCTGGTGATAGAATGATCCCTATAAATATAAAATTAACAACTATTTTTACTAAATACCATTACAAAATTCAAACCCGGGTAACGCTGGATACATAAACGACTATGATTTATAAATGAATTTCACGTTTAAATTTGGGCCCCATCTCCAAGATAGCTCATTGTGGACAAAGGTGCAAATATAAACATCCCGACATTTTAAAAGAAAAGAAACAAAATCCAAATCTCTCTGGTCCCAAGCATTTTGGATAAAGGCTACTCAACCTGTAACATGTTCCACCGTTTATGGGGATGTTTAGTGTAGCAATCCAATTAAACAGAGAAATGAGGAGAGATCTTAGAGATCAACTGCAAGTAACGTCCATAAAAATGGTCTTGCTTTTGGAAGTGACACTGGTTGAAATGCCCTTTTCTGCACAGCGATTAAAAGTCCCATTCTCGATTTCACCAGGGAAGGATTTGGCAAGGTTTGTTCAGAGATGGTTTGCCTTTGCCTTCCTCTGAGGCTGAGAGAGTGTCACCCAGTGGCTTTTATGGTCCCACTGGGATTTGACCCCTGGTCTTCAGAGTCATGGGCTGGTCCTACACTGCCATATAATCCAGTTTCTGAATCCAGATTATCATCTTTGAACTGGATGATATGTGTCTCCACTGCCATTTAATCCAATTCAAAGCAGATAATCTGGATTCAGAAACTGGATTATATTATATTGTGTATGGGGACATAGTCCAGTGCTAAAACCATTATACCACATTGCTTCTCTATATATTCTATGTACTCCTCCACCTTTCCCATTGTTTTGTTTCTGCTGTTTTCTTTCCTTCTTTCTCTCCTTTTGTTCCATTTATACTTTTTAAGGATCCCAAGAACACTTTAAAAAAAATTGAAAGCTGATAGAAGTTAATACAACTCTTACTAATAGGGTGATTAGGCTATACCTTGCACAAAAAGGAGCTTGACAAGATACTATATATCTCTGAAGGGTTTGTAGAGGCAGGAAGGGAACAGGACTGGCAAGGAGAGATGACAAAATGTGAGAACGAGATAGTGGCAGCAAGCAAATTAACCTGTTGCTCAATGAGGTGTGGCACAAATAATACACAGCGAGTCACAGTACTGTAACGCATTCAGGAAGCACTTAGCAGATGGTGCAAGTACCTGTTTTTCATCACCCTTGATGGCAGCTATAAGTCTTTTATAACTGCAGAAACTATACTTTCAAAACTTGGGAAATTATTTTGTGGCCTGCTGGCTAGGGGATTCTGCCTAAAGGTGCAATAACCCTCTCTGGGATTGGACTTGACCTATTTTTTTTATGAATCATATCAGCTCTCTTTGCAATTGGACTGCAGTGGTTAGTAAAGGTAAGCCAATAATGTTACAATTTTGATAGCATGCTCTTCTCTTATTTCTACACTTTCATTGATTTTCTGGCATTTAAAGAAAACACCCCATCATCATGGTGGTATCACGCTGGCCAGGGCTGGGAAGAGAGGAAAGAGAGCAAGAGGGTTTCTTTCTCTCCACTTGGTTTAGTGCACCGTGTCACCTTGGCTGACATCACAGCATGCCATGGAATACAGGTGGGATCTGTGTCGCAGCCAGAGACTGTTGTGGCATGAGGGGTGGTTGGGGGAGATAGACTGCTGTCTGGATTGCCGGAGGTGTCTCATTTCTAGTATTGTCATCTTGGGCACTAAGCCATGAGACCAAACATTGAAATGGCCAGTGAGCCTCTGGGAGAAAGCTACTTGCTGTTGGTGATACAGTAAGGCAGTGTTTCCCAAACTGCGGGGTTGGGATCCCTGCGGGGGTCATGAGGGGGTGTCAGAGGGGTCACCAAAGACTATCAGAAAACACAGTATTTTCTGTTCGTCATAGTAGTTCTGTATGGGTGGGTTTCAGAATGCTCTTTGATTGTAGGTGAACTATAAATCTCAGCAACTACAACTCCCAAATGTCAAGTCTGTTTTCCCCAAACTCCACCACTGTTCACATGTGGGCATATTGAGTACTTGTGCCAAGTTTAGTCCAGATCCATCATTGTTTGAGTTCACAGTGCTGTCTGGATGTAGGTGAACTACAACTCCAAAACTCAAGGTCAGTGTCCATCAAACCCTTCCAGTATTCCATGGGAATTCTGTGTGCCAAGTTTGGTTCAATTCCATCGTTGGTAGAGTTCAGAATGCTCTTTGATTGTAGGTTAACTATAAATGCCAGCAACTACAACTTCCAAATGACAAAATCAACCCCCCCAACCCCACCTGTATTCAAATTTGGGCGTATCGGGCATTTGTTCCAAATTTGGTGAATGAAAATACATCCTGCACATCAGATATTTACATTACAATTCATAACAGTAACAAAATTACAGTTATGAAGTAGTGACAAAAATAATTTTATGTTGGAGGTTGCCACAACATAAGAAACTGTATTAAAGGTTAAGGCATTGGGAAGGTTGAGAAACACTGAAAAAAAGGTCAGCAGTGGCCTGGATGTGGCCTTGGGCTGGCCGGTCAAAGGATCTGGATATGTTCCTGGGCATCGGTGCAGCTCCAGAGCCCATTGCATCCAATTAATCTGATAGGTATAGATATGCCCCAAGTAGTTGATACAGGATTCTGGATTTTATGCTTTATTCAGGGATTGTAATCATGTCATCTTCCAGAACATGTTTGAGAAAAGCTCTCAGTCTTCCTCATTGTTAGCAGTGTTGGGTAGGGCTCACAAGAGTTGCATCTAAACAACATGATTCCAACTCTAGTTTCTCAAGTTGCTCCTGACACAAAAAATAATATAGTGTTACTATCCTTATTCTCTTTGCTTTGCTGCTGGTTACATTTGGAGCTTTACTTCTCTTTCATTGGTTTTGAACCTAATTTGTAGGCTTCCTTTTCTGGAACTGGCCCATTGCTAATAAGAAAAGGCTCAGTGACCTGTGGATTGGAGCAAAAATCAAATCATTATTCAACCTGAGGAAAGTGGCTTTTAAATCTATTCAGCCTGGAATTACTGTAATTCTGCTTAAATTGCAGTAATTATTACTCAATTTCCATCCATACATGTATATTAGCATGCACAAATTTTATGCAATAAATTTCTCTTTTGTCCTCTATTTTAATGATATGTTTCCTTCCTCCTCTTTTGGCAATGAGTAGAAGTGCCAGCAAAAGTGAGAAACGGTTAGGATATTATTATTTGCCTTTGGGATATTGGGAAAATTTCTATGTGCAGTGTGAACATCTGAGAACTATGTCTAGAGAGTCTAGAGAGGGAGCGTGGAGGTTCATAAACCTTTCTCTCTCCCTCTTCTTGTTCATACACATTCTTAAAATAGTAATAAAAATTATCATTTTGCAATTTAAAGACTTTTCCTATTGTGTTTGTTCTGCAAAAAGGAGGTTTAAGGTCCTTCCACACAGCCATATAATCCAGAATATCAAGGCAGATAATCCACAATGTCTGCTTTGAACCGGGTTATCTGAGTCCATACTGCCATATAATCCAGTTTTTAAACAGCTGTGAAGGTCACTTGCCCAAGGTCACCTAATAGATTTCTGGGATTGGGTGTGAATTTAAATCCTAGTCTCCAGTCATACATTGTCCAACCCTCAAACTATCACACCAGCTCTCTAGCATAAAATGACATTGGTATGATTTATTATTGTTAGGGTCAGAATATCAATTTTAAAGGGATCATATGGAATAAAATAAAAGTTCAGTTGCTTAAAAAAGATATGACACTTTTCCTCTGCCTTTAATAGCGGTCAGATTTACCCTTACAGCCTTTCTGCAGAAGAAACTGTTTAATTTCTGTATCAAATTGCTTATTAAAGTCACCAGAGTGGGACTGGAAAGAAAATCTGGCAACCCTAGAGTGCAACTATACTGTAAAATTAATTCAGTTAGATACTACTTTTACTGTCTTAGCACAATGTTGTGGAATCATAGAAATTGTTTTTTTTTCAAGGTCTTTAGTTTTATTTGCCAAAGAGTTCTCACCAAAAGTGCCTCACCAAACTACAAATGGCAAAAGTTCATAGTACTGAGGTATGGGAGTTAAACTGATGTCAAAGTGCAGTAATTTAATTTTGCACTGTAGCTGCACCTCTAGTTACACCTGCATTAAGAAAACCTAAAATTCTAGTATGCAGTTTTCATGTCAGGAGAGACTTGAGAAACTGCAAGTCGCTTCTGGTGTGAGAGAATTGGCCGTCTGCAAGGACATTGCCCAGGGGACACCTGGATGTTTTGATGTTTGACAATCTTTGTGGGAGGCTTCTCTCATGTCCCCAAATGGGGAGCCAGAGCTGACAGTGGGAGCTCATCTGTGCTCTCCCTGGATTCGAACCTGTGACTTGTCAGTCTTCAGTCCTGCCGGCACAAGGGTTTAACCCATTGTGCCATCGGGAGCTCCTATAAAATGCACCAATAAGCTGTTTCTCTGTGACCTTTACACTGAAAAGTGTTGTATCCTCAAGATAAAACATTTATTTCAATTCTACTTGTTTCAATTGAACTTCTTTTGAAGGATGCTTGTTTGGAATCTGACAACATTTCATGGCCTAGTTCTATGCTTGATTACTCTGGAACTGCACCTGTAATCCTATTCACACCCCTTTCCAATAGACATTATTTTACTTTATGCGCTTATAATCTTAAGTGGCTTGTGAAATTATGGTTTGTGAAGCTACACCTGTATGTACAGATGCGTCAGGTCAGACTGTGCTCTGTTGTGATCCCAAACACAAAGCTGCAATTTAGATTTATCTAGACTTTAAGTGCGTGGGAGGACAGGCATGCGGAACAGTTGCATCACCAATGTTTAGGGAAAACTGGGCTGAATGAATCCAGTGCCTCAGTTATATCCCGGGGAGCCTAGCAGAAAAGTGCATCAGGAAGAAACTCTTCAGATTCACACCAAGGTGAGACACATCTGTCCTCACCTTTTGGAAGAGCCTTTGGGACACTTGCTCCTGTTTTGTTTGAGAAAGCAAAAGAGAATATCCTCTTAACTGGAAATTTTAAAATAGGGAAGGCATGTGGTTTCTCTTATACTGACATATACTAAAGCAAGAACATTATTGATTTTCATATTGTTGTGTGCCTTCAAGTCGTTTCCGACTTGTGCCAACCCAAAGATGACCCTATCCTGGAGTTTCTCAGTGGGGGTTTGCCTATTTAGTACCTTCCATTTCTTTTCTTTTTTATTTTACCGAAGGAAAGATCGATAAGGACTGTTACTGGTACATCTACACTGTAGAATTAATGCAGTTTGACACTACTTGAATTCCATGGGAGTATGGAAGTTGTAGTTCAGCAAGGCACATACTTTGTCAGGAAAGGACCAAGACCTTGTAAAACTACAGTTCCTAGGTTTTCAGAACATTGTGCTTTGGTAGTAAAAGTGGTGTCAAACTGTATTCATTTTCTATTGTAGATTCATCCATTGTTTGCTTGGAAAAAAATGTTTTGTTATCTCATGGTTATCAAATAAGCAAACAAATTGGCTCCCGTGCCCTTCTCTTCCTTGCTGTTTAGTTACAATTTGGCCCCTTCTACACTGCCATAGAAAATCTACATTATCTGCTTTGAACTGGATTATATGGCAGTGTAGAGTTATATGATCCAGTTCAAAGCAGGTAATCCGGTTTATATAGCAGCGTCGATGGGGTTTAATTTTGTTCCAGCCAAGTTGAATTCAATGTTTGGCTCTTCCTGACCTTTTCGGGCCCTTCATCTTATCTAACCCCCTTCTACACAACTGTATAAAATCTAGATTGTCTGCTTTGAACTGGATTATATGGCAATGTAGACTCAGATCATCCAGGGCTCTTCCACACAGCCCTTTATCCCAGGAGCATCCACATTTAAAAAGACACAGGAAGTAGTGGGTTTATCCCACACCTTCCAAGAAGGTGCAGAATAAATCCACTATCTAATTTATTCGCCACAAACCAGGGTTTTCCTGATTTGTGATGAATTAATTACGGGTTGCCCAGAACGTCATCTGAACAGCCCCCTTTTAATTGCAGAAGATTTCGCAATAAAGGGGCTGTCTGGATGCACCCCCGTTCAAAGTAGATATTCTGAATTATATGGCAGTGTTAAAGTGTCTTACATTTCATATAATGGCAGATCATTATTTGATTAAAATGGAAATATGTCAAGGAAAGTGCTTATGGATTTTGTTATTAAGAGTCCGCTACTTTATCATGGAAAGCTGGTGTGGTTTAGTGGTTTGAGGGGTTGGACTAGCAATCAAGCCATGGAAACCCACTGATTGGAAAACTTCCCCTGATGCAATTTTGTTGAGAAAACCCTTGAGCTGGATCTATACTGCCCTATATCCCAGGATCTGATCCCAGATTATCTGCTTTGAACTGGATTATGTGAGTCTACCCTGACAGATAATCTGGGATAAGAAGATAATTTCTTCTTATCAGATCCTGGGATATAGGGCAATGTAGATCCAGCCTTGGTTTAGGGACATCATAAATCAGGGTTGACTTGATGGCATACAATAGCGATGACAATTTCACCATGTTCCTCCATTGATTTGAGCACAGCCATCAGAGCAGGTAAGGGTCCTTTCACACTGCCATATAACTCAGAATATCAAGGCAGAAAATCCCACAATATCTGCTTTGAACTGGGTTATCTGAGTCCTCACTGCCATATATTCCAGTTCAATGCAGATAATGTGGTATTTTATTCAGCTGTGTGGAAGGGGGCTGAGATATACCAAAATAGGAACAGAGAAACAGAGAATGAGATTTACTTGGATACTATTAGTTATATCTCTGTAATGACAGAGCTTGATAGTTTGCGGTTCTCTGAATAGATGAGGATCAAGGCATGGATTATATGGTACCATGGTGTTGGGGGGGGGGGGCGGGGGAGGTTATATGTTGTTGCTTTATTATTTACCATAAAAATAGAAATACATAGAAATGTGATGCAATATAATGCCACTAGGGCTGCATCTATACTGTACATTTAATGCAGTTTGGCACCAAATGTCATGGCTCAATGCAATGGGAACATGGGTATTGTAGTTTGGTGAGAAAGAAGCATCTTTTGGCAGAGAAGGCTAAAAACCCTTTAAAACGACAGCTTCCATGATTCCACACCATTGCACCATGACAGTTAAAGTGGAGCTAAACTGCATTAACTCAATAGTGTAGATGCATCCTAAGAGTAAACCTTAAATAAATATGAAACCGACTCTTCGTGGAGCCTTGCTTGCTTCATTGTGCTCCCTTTTCACTGGCACATAGGCTTTCTTATATTTCAACATGCTTTGTGCAATGGCAGTGTTGTTTTAAATGGGTAATAGGTGTATGTTTTAAGGCACTCTGGAGGTGCGATTTTAAGCCACTTTCAGTCCCCCTCGGGGTAGAGAAAGGCGGGATATAAATAAAGTAAATAATAAATAGGTATTTTATGTGGTTTTCAGAAGAAACATTTTAAATAGATTGGTTGTTTAATGTTTTAAAGACTTTTGTAACAGATACTGTTTTGGTTTATATTGTTCTAACATGTCTTGTAATCTACTTTCAGTCCCATTTTGGGAGAAAGGTGACATATAAATGAATCAACAAAGAACAACATAAATAAGTAGTAAATAAATAAAATATAATGGGCATGTTTATCTGGAGCTATTCGGGTTTGATTCCCTATAGTTTCAATGCTCTAGATCTGAAATCTGCTTCAAATCCCCTGTTTAAAAATTATGGTATTTTATTTAAGGCCCCCAGTAGCGCAGTGGGTTAAAGTGCTGCTGAACTACTGAGCTTGTTGACCGAAAGGTCGCAGGTTCGATTCTGGGAAGCGGCGTGAGCTTCCGCTGTCAGCCCTAGCTTCTGCCAACCTGGCAGTTCGAAAACATGCAAATGTAAGTAGATCAATAGGTACTGCTCCAGTGGGAAGGTAACAACGCTCCATGCAGTCATGCCAGCCACATGAGCTTGAAGGTGTCTACGGACAATGCCGGCTCTTCGGCTTAGAAATGGAGATGAGCACCACCACCCAGAGTTGGACATGACTGGACTTAATGTCAGGGGACAGCCTTTACCTTTTTATTTAAGGCGCTCATATATACAATTTTGGGTTGGGATTAGATTTTTCTTCCTTGCTGGTATAACTGTGGATGTGTCTACACTGTAAAATGAATGCAGTTTGAGACTATTTTAACTGCCATGGCTCAATGCTATAGAAGCACGGGATTTGTACTTTAGTGAGGCACCTCTTTGGCAGAGAATGCAAAAAACAATGTAAAACTACAACTCCTGCAATACCATAGCATTAAACCATGGTCGTGAAAGTGGTGTCAAACTTCATTAATTTTACAGTGCAGACGTACTTTAGGACAGAGTAGCCTAGTATTATTTACAGTATTTATATTCTTCTCACCCTGCAGGGGACTCAGGGCAGATTACAATGTACACATATATGGCAAACATTCAATGCCAAAAACACACAACACATATAGACAGACAGTCAGAGGCTATTTAACTTTTCTGGCCGCCAAGGGAGCTGTTGCTTTCATTGTTCATCTACGACACTGGTGAAGTACTTCCACATTCCCCGCATGCTTTGCTGTGCTTTGCTGGAGTCTTTTTTATGGCCTCGTAAATTAGTTAAATGGTACCTAATTTTCCTACTTGACAGATGCAACTGTCTTTCGGGTTGCAAAGGTCGACAACAAGCTACACAATTGGTCGGAAGCTCACTCCGAGCCGGGCTGGCTTCGAACTCATGACCTTTTGGTCAGAAGTGATCTTAATGCAGCTGACACTCAGCCAGCTGCGTCACAGTCCCGGTGCAAGATAGTAGAGATATCTACACAAAACACCTTTCGAGGAATCTCAAGGGTCCCTTTCACACAGCTGAATAAAATCCTACATTATCTGCTTTGAACTGGAATATATGGCAGTGTGGACTCAGATAGCCCAGTTCAAAGCAGATATTGTGGGATTTTCTGCCTTGATATTCTGGGTTATATGTCTGTGTGGAAGGGCCCCAGGTCCTCCAATGTAATTTTGTGTTCATCTTCCTATAGATGATGACCATAGGATCATGCTGGAAAACCTACACACATGGAAGGTTGACTGTACTGTATTCCTAATTTTGTTGTTACCTCCATTCCAATCAGAATATGACCTGATTTTATAAAAGAAGGTCACATTTCCTTCTCTCTATTCATGAAAGGGAGGGCAGCAATCTTTTTCTTCTTTAATATAATCTTTTTGACCTCCCCCACCCCCCACAAGCTCTAAGCAAGGTTTTTTTCTGAACTCAGTCTCCCAGGTTTTGCCTGATTTTTGCCTGATCTCTGTCAAGAGATTTTAGGATTTTATCACACAAAGATGGTAGTGTGATATTATTTTAAAAGGCATCATATTAAAACAAGCAATTCCTCATTTAAAAATGTGTCATTTTCCAAATGGCTTCACACAGAGGACATGAGCATTGTAGCAAAATCATCCTTATGTGATGTTAACATTGAAAGGAGCCAAACTATCTGCAATTCACTTTCACGCTGTGCAAAAATTGAATTATAGCTTATCTTTGCTGATAAGATAGTTGAACAGCAATTTTGTTTGCACAGAATTGTTTAATAGTGAGGTAAAGGTTTCCCCTTGTTGTGTCCGACTCCAGGGGTCGGTGCTCATCTCCATTTCTAAGGTGATGAGCCGGTGTTGTCCATAGATGCCTTCAAGGTCATGTGGCTGGCATGACTGCATGGTGCACCATTACCATTCTGCTGAAGCGGTACCTTTTGATCTACTTTTTTTTTGTTCTTGTGTCAGGAGTGACTTGAGAAACTGCAAGTCGCTTCTGGTGTGAGAGAATTGGCCGTCTGCAAGGACATTGCCCAGGGGACGTCGGGATGTTTTTGATGTGTTACCATCCTTGTGGAAGGCTTCTCTCATGTCCCCACATGGGGAGCTGGAGCTGATAGAGGGAGCTTATCCGCACTCTCCCCGGGATTCGAACCTGTGACCTGTCGGTCTTCAGTCCTGCCAGCACAAGCACTTAACCCACTTCGCCACCGGGGGCTTTTGATCTACTTACATTTGCATGTTTTTGAACTGCTAGGTTGGCAGAAGCTGGGACTAACAGCAGGAGCTCACCCCACTCCCCAGATTAAAACTGCCAACCTTTAGGTCAGCAAGTTCAGCAGCTCAGCGGTTTAACCTGCTGCACCACAGGGGGCTCCTGTTTAAGAGTATCTGGCATTAAATTCTTTAGTCTTAAAGCTATTTAGTTGCATCTTTTCACTGCAGCAATTTTAATCTATGTATATTGATACTTCTCCATTTTTTCTTAGGAGTGGCAAGAATGCTTGGTCTTCAAGAAATTGTCATCAGTTATAGGTAATGATGCATTTATTAATTAGGAATAATGCTATATGAAGAGTATAGAAAATGTATTAACATAGGCTTTTTCTTTCAGTTTTTGATTCCCTCCTTTCCCCCCCACTAAAGTTGTTACTATTTTCAGGCATGTGAAGGAGGGAGAATGGGTGGAAGCCTTCTTATTTGAAGGCAGCATTAAATAAGGTTCATTAAGTGCCCGTGCTTCATAGACATTTGTATATGCAACATATACAGTACTGCTAAAATCACATTGACAGACATTTGTATATGCAACATATACTGCCAAAATCACATTGACACACCTTTGTATATGCAACATATACTGCTAAAATCACATAGACACACATTTGTATATGCAACATATACTGCTAAAACGCTTTGAGTCCCAATTCTGTGATGAAAAGATATTTATTTATTTATTTATTTATTTACTTCTTTTGTATACCGCAAATATCAGCCTAAAAAGGCGACTCGAAGCGGTTTACAATAAAATGTGCAACACTGAACAATCTATATAACAAACATACACAAACAATACACATAAAAATCATCACGCCTCATTAGAATCAGATCTCGATCTCACAGTCGTATTACCATTCCTTGTTCAATGTGCCGTCATTCCTGAGTCAGTTGTTATAAGTAAGATATATGAATGAATTTTTTTCATGTAGGGAGCGACTTGGGAAACTGCAAGTTGCTTCTGGTGTGAGAAATTGGCCGTCTGCACGGACGTTGCCCAGGGGATGCCCAGATGTTTTCCCATCCTGTGGGAGGCTTCTCTCATGTTCCCTCAAGGGAAGCTGAAGCTGACAGTGGGAGCTCACCCTGCTTTTCAGATTTGAACTGCCGACCTTTTGGTCAGCAGTTTTGCCAGCACAAGGGTTTAACCTATTGTGCTACCGGGGGCTCCAACTGATGAATGCATGAACCTGTAATGTACAAGACATTGCTGGACAACAAATCCCATATTATGTTAAGGAAAAAACAACCCTGCATTTCCCAGTGACTGTAACTGCGGATGCTATGGTTTTTGGCTTTGGTTTTGACCCATGAACCGAAAAAAACAAACAAGCTGGTTTTTGTGGTGTTTGTGTAGGTGCTGCACAGGAAACTGGTTTGTTTTAATCCATTTTCAAACTTGATTATAGTGTCTGTGTAGAACCACCCTCAATCATGTACTGGAAAATTACTGGCTTTACAAATTGTGTAATGATATATGTAATGCTGGAAAAAAAATATAGATTGAAAACAACAACAACAAAATTTAACAGTAATAAACCCACAATTTTAAGCTGCTGTGGGTGTATAATTTTTTGCAACACAAATAAATAAATACAGAGTTATAGAAAGAAAAACCCACGTTCTTTGCAGCTTTCAAGCTGTGGATATTGCAAATTTTGGCACCAGTTCAAGGCCAACCATTAAGGTTGTGTAAGCACTATCTGGGCCTCAGATTGGATTTGCAATGAAATCATCCACATACTGAAACTGCTTCCTTCCATGCTGGTTTCACTTTGTCTCAGTTGGACGTGTGCTGCTACCATTTCTTGGGAAAGAATGACTATAGTACATTTATAACTAAAGAAACTATAGTCCAACAGAACGTTGTATTACCTCCTTTCCTCAAATCAAAGCACAAATCTCACCCTCACTTTGTTGGTTTCATAGGAAGAACTTCCAGAAACAACGGCTGAAGGCAATGGCAACCACGAAGCAGCTGAAGGATTCTCTCTACTGGTTTTATTATCAATTCATGCTTATTTCCTGTTGTGTTGATATGGAGCCCTGGGAACAAATACTTGCACATATTTTTATAGCGTCTCTAGCTACCATGTTAATGTTTACGGCTTATATGTTCATCCTGAATAATCTATGCTCGGCTTTTCAGTTCTTTTTGCATTTATGAGTTGAGGAGCCAAAGAAGTCATGACTGAGATAGTTGTTATGACCCTGGGTATATATATTTATGACTTATTTTGTGTCTCTTTATGTCAGTGGTTCCCAACCTTTAGTCCTCCAGGTGTTTTGGACTTCAGCTCCCACAATTCCTAACAGCCAGTAAGATGGCTGGGGGTTCTGGGAGTTGAAGTCCAAAACATCTGGAAGACCAAAGGTTGGGAACCACTGCATAGGGTCACTGTATTTTTGTAAATAGAACAATTTTTAAAACATGAGTGTCTCTTCCTCTGCCCAATTTTGTCCCATGCACTATCGGATGACCGTTACTGAGAAGACTTCAGTTGTTTCTTGACTGTGGAAGATGTTTGATAGCTGGAATTGCTGCCTGAATTTAGAAGAGACTGGTTTCTTCTGGTGGACCTATCCAGATTACTTGGACCTATCCAGATTACTTTTAAATTATGAAGTTTAAATTATGTCTTGATCTTACATATCCGTTTAACGGATATTATGTGTTTTAACTGGTTTATGTGTTATTAACTAATGTTATGTACTGTTGTTTCCTACCCTGACTTATGGGAAGAGGTGGGTAAGTTGTTGTTATTATTACACCCGGTGTCACAGCAGGTTAAACTGCTGAGCTGCTGAACTTGCTGACCAAAAGGTTGGCGGTTCGAATCTGGGAAGTCATCCCCCGCAGAGGATTGTTAGATATCTTTTAGAGGACAAGTGCCACAGGGTGACTCTCATAGTGGCAAAATTCCTTGCAGTGGCAACAAATCTGATAGGGGTATTATTTGAAACTGTGCAGATGTATTTTGTACAATAGACTTCTCCTGAGATGGGTGAATTTAAAATGACTGTTGGTTTTACTGATGGGTCTATGGACCATAATAAATTGTTGTTGCTGTTGAATCCGGGAAGTGGGGTGAGCTCCCACTGTTAGCTCCAGCTTCTGCCAATCTAGCAGTTCAAAAACATGCAAATGTGAGTAGATCAATAGGTACTGCTTCGGCAGGAAGGTAACAGCGCTCCATGCAGTCATGCTAGCCACATGATTTTGGAGACATCTATGGACAACACTGGCTCTTCAACTTAGAAATGGAGATGAGCACCATCCCCTCAGGGTCAGACATGACTAGACTTAATGTCAGGGGAAAACCTTTATCTATGTAACGTGAATTTTGTTCCTGGATTATAAATGTGATTTCCTAATTGGTTCTATCATTTAAAAAAAAAACTGGAAAAAGTTTATTAAATTTCAAAAACTTTTCTTTCACGGGACATCTTGTGGCACACTTTGCTGTAGTTTTTCAATGAATATTGCATAGAATCTCGACCAATTCAACATAGTTTGTGGCAGCCACAAAAACAAAGTTTCTGGAGTATATCAATGACTTTCAAAGTAAGTACCGCACAATTAAACAGGAAATAACACTTTCAAACCAGGAGCAGAACATGTTTCAAATTTTGTTACATAGTGTTTACAAGTTCTGACAATGGCTTTATGGATAGTAAAGGAAAATGTCATAGGCCACCTAGTTTTAAATAAAGCTTAAAGGAGATGAATGGGTCATCAAGGAGATAGAAAAATGCAGAGAAAGAGAAGACAAAATGAAAACATGCATGATTAATAACAAAGGTCAATGTTGCATTGTAAAATGGGCAAAACGAAGATTGGAGACTATTGGATTAAACAGTGATTCGTCTTTCCAAAAAGACTACCTTATCCCAGGAAATTTCAACTGTAAAGCAAAGATTTTCTTGGGTTAAAAAGTAGTCTGATACACCAGGAAATATGGTACTTTTGTCCTTTGAACTCTGTTTGAAGCAATGGGCATAGAGGGTAGAGGGAAAAAGTAAAAGGAAGAGAGAGAAACTGGGACCCTTTTGAAAACTGCTGAAAAAGTGGGGTAACGAAGGATTCATTGGGACTGTCCCTTCCCAGCTGGAGAGAATGTCCAGCTTGTTATATTGTTGCTCTTGCTAATGTAATGTTAATGTTCGTTGGTTTATTATTTTAATGAGATAATTACCATGTAAAACTGCAGATTTTAATGATTTACGTATCATCTGCCAGCTAGGATACTAGAGAGTATATATGGAATAAAATGTGTATGTATGTTTTTAACATGGAGGATTCTTAAGTCAGGTAAGAAACAACCTGTGAAGCCTAGACATCATGAGAATGGGAAGCTTATCTTCTTCTGCGTTACTTCACCAAATATGTGAAGGGTGAGACTGCATACAACCATAAAGATGTGTTCTGCCCCCAGACACATTCACAGCATATCCATGGTATGAGAGAAAAACGGAAGAGAACTGTCACAGAGGACTTGGTGGCAGTTTATAATCAACACCTTGTAATGAAATTTAAAACCTAAGAGGTAAGATGTTAGATAAGAATGAGGGAACAAAAATAGGGGAAAATGCGATAACGTGCCAAGCCTTCTCATTTGGAACTACTGAAACTCCAGGAAGCAATAGGTGTGAATTAAAAAGAGCATTATCACAGTGCTAGAAAACTATAATCCATTCTTAAGCTTCTTTATATCCAGTCTCTTTCCCCAAAGCAGAGCCCTAGGTGACTTACAAATTAAAATACGACATAGTTAGAAGGCCAACATTAAAATGGAATTAAAAACCTTCAGTTCTCCAAAGAATATAGGAACCCTCGATGGCATAGTGGGTTAAACCACTGAGCTGCTAACTTGCTGACCATAAGGTCAGCGGTTCAAATCCGGGGAGTGGGGTGAGCTCCTGCTATTAGCCACAGCTTCTGCCAACCTAGCAGTTTGAAAACATGCAAATGTGCGTAGATCAATAGGTATCTCTTCAGCAGGAAGGTAACGGTGCTCCATGCAGCCATGCTGGCCACATGACCTTTGAGGCTTCTATGGACAACACTGGCTTTTCGGCCTAGAAATGGAGATGAGCACCCCCCCCCCCCCCAGAGTTGGACATGACTAGACTTAATGTTAAGGGGAAACCTTTACTCTCTCTCTATGTATGTATGTATGTATGTATGTATGTATGTATGTATGTATGTATGTATGTATCAATTGGAAGGACAGCAAGGAAGAACAGCAAGGAGATTACCTTGGTAGAATCCTTAGGAAGCAGGTTCTGGAGTCTAGCTATGCCACTGGGAAGGTTTTGTCTTCTATCCCAAGATGGTAGGAATGACAGAAAAGTTTCTACCGAGGATCCCAAGACCCAGGCAACCCCAAATGGGAATATAGGATATGTTTATAGGCTGGTATTAAAATGTATAAAGCTTTATAGATCATAACCAAAATTTTTAATTGTGTCCAAAAATGAACTGTCAGCTGGTGAAGCTGGTGTAGCAATGGCCTGGAAGTTTTCTGGAACCAGCCCTTGTTAACAACCTGCTTGTAGCTTTTTAGCATACAGCCCGCGCTCCACATTCTCTGGGGTAAAGAGTTTTGGACCTTTATGGGATTCAGAAATAAATTGCTATTTCTTAATACCTCAGAGCATACTTCTCTGGGAATTTCTAGGTCTCCAAGGTCAACTTCCATTGGGAGCTTGACTACAGAATTGCATTGGAGAACCTAGAACACTTCCAACAGTGCCAAAATGCGTGTTTTAAAATTGAGGCAAAACATCCCGGAACCTGACAGCAGGTCCACACACATACCTGTCAAGCCCAGGGAATGGTCTCTTGCCATCCTCATAGACTTCCTTTGTAGCAAATCAAGATGTAATGTAGGTGGAGGACATTTGGCAGAAATTTTTAAAAAAAATAATTTAGTTATGCGCTAGTCCTCATATGCGCACACGTGAATATTTTAAGGTACAAACGCAGATTTCTTATCTCTCTTTTCACCCAATTGTTAATTCAAGCTCTGTTTAATATATAAAGTTTAAAATAAAGAGTTTCAGAGAGTTCAAATTGCTTTCCATTTGTGCTTCCCTTGAGCCACCTGTGTGTCCGTGGCTCCATGTTTTGGCAGCCTGATCAGCTGTTTTGGGCTTTTCAGAAGTACACGTGTGCTGAAGCAGTCTACACAGGGGGAAAAGAAAGAAAACATGTGTTTTGCATGACTGCAGGAATATGCAGTCATTTTGGGGGAGGAGTTGGGTTTTAAGTGCACTTTTAAAATTTGTGCTTTTCAGCTGTTAACCCAGTTCTGCCCACACTTTGTTGAAATGTCATATAACCACCCCCACCCCCCTTTATCCTGGTTACTTTTCAGGCATGTGTATAAGGGACTCTAGAGATTCCCAGAGAAAACATTTTAATCAAACCCATGAATTATCAAATGTGAAAGAGTGCAGTAATCCCAAAGTCAAACCTGCAAATGTGGATGGCTCAATGTATTCTTCAAAGGACATAATGCATAGAGTGCATCACAGTAATTCAAATAAGATATAACGAATGTGGAGGTTCTTTTTTGGAGGTTTTTAAGCACTGTTCAGCACCTTCAGCATCTTCCAAGTTGCCCAGTCTTCTGGGCAAACAGAGGCTGGATGGCCATCTGTCTGCGGTACTTTGAATGTGCTTTTCCTTCAGACAGGAGGTTGGACTAGATGGCCCATAAAGTCTCTTCCAACTCTATGATTCTATGAGTCACCATGATCATGTTAGATATTTCTAGAATAGGCACAGGTAACCCATTAGCATTGGGTATATTTTTATTTATTGTTTCAAAGTGAACCGAGGGTACAGTTGTAACATATTTAAAAAACACAAAGCTTTTACTAAATGTCCTTTGATCAGCAGCTGGCCACTTGGAATGCCTCTGGTGTTGCTATAAAAAGGTCCTTGTTGTGCATGTGGCAGGGCTCAGACTGCATTTTAATAGGTGGTCTGTGATTTGCTCTTCTCCACACTTGCATGTCGTGGACTCCACTTTGTGGCCCCATTTCTTAAAGTTGGCTCTACATCTCAAGGTGCCAGAGTGCAGTCTGTTTAGCACCTTCCAAGTTGCCCAGTCTTCTGTGTGCTCAGGCGGGAGTCTCTCATTTGGTATCAGCCATGGATTGAGATTCTGGTTTTAGCCTGCCACTTTTGGACTCTCGCTCGCTGAGGTGTTCCTGCGGGTATCTCTGTAGATCTCAGAAAACTATTTCTTGATTTAAGATGTTAGCATGCTGGCTGATAGGCCTGAGATGTCACTACCTTGG